AATTTATTTATTCAAAATAAGTCAAAATATTAAAAATGAATAATTCTCTGGTTTTTCTTATCTAATAATTCTAAAATTTGATTTAATAAACTTTTGAATTCAAAATTCCTCCTCAAATATTCAATCTCATTAATTTAATATTAACCTTCCCTTTAGAAAATTTTATATATATTTTTTATAATATTAATAAGTATATTAATTCATAAAAATTTATTACAATCTTTAAAATTAATTTTCTAAAGGAATCATAAAATTGATTTGAAAACAAATTTTAAATAAAACATTTATAGGGTAGAAATTTAATTCTTAATAAAATTCTCAATAATAATTTTTATTCCCTCAATTAGATTTGAAATAATGTATTATCTATATCTGAATTTATAGAATGCTTTAATAAAACAATTTTTTCTTTATTCATTGGTTATTTCCTGGAAAAGAAGATTGATAAAAGAAAACTAATTTAAGATTTATTTCATTTTCTTTTTTCTTCTATTTTATAGTATAAATCATAGCCAAGCTTTCAAACATATCATATCAGCATAATAAGAATTTAATTCACTTAACATATATTATAAACAAAAATAATTAATTCAATATAATTTATCAAATCTTTTATTTATAACTGCATTTTTTCCCCATAATTTTCATTAATAAAAATGGCAAACACTTATTTGAATCAAAATTAGAAAATTTTAGCAACCAAAGCTTGGTAAAAGCTAGAATCAGAAAAAATGTTTAGAATAAAGAATGAAATTATTGGCTCATCATTCAATTAGAATTTTTATAGTAATATAACATATAATTAATAATAATATTTGAATAACAATGCTATAAGATTAAGAGGAGGAGGATGTGGCAAATCAAAAATAGAAAAGAATATCGATTCATAAATTAAAAAGGATGAAAATAAAATAAATTTATAGTACTTGCCTGAAAACTATATAAAGAATCTTGAGGAATGTCTTAAGCTTATTACAGAACAAGCAACACAAATTGGGGATTCAAATAAGAGAAATGAAGTAATAAAAAAGATTTAATGGTTTCTTTATAACAGAGAATACTTGAATTATTTTTGTATTGATGAATAGGCGGGGAAAACAATTTATGATTTAGTAATAGCAAATTTTGGGCAATTATTAGAGGTTTTAATAACTTATTTAAGGAATTCTGGATTTATTTGTTATTAAGTTTTATAGATTTGTAATGAACTGTTAAGAATAATATATTCATTCCAATTAGGAAATTCTGGAAGATTTTTTGAAGAGGAAGTAAAGCAGGGATACTTATAAAATTTATAAGAACTTGATACTCAATTAGAAATAGAATAAGCTCATGTTTGGAAGACAGGTATAGAATTTGAAGTAACAATAATGAAAATAATGATTATGAATTCATAAACTAATTCCACTGAAGGAAAGGATTTATTAATTGAATTCTTTAAATAAGCTGCTTAATCAATTGTATCGTTATAACCTTCTGAGGATTTACTTTCAACGATTATTGAAGGTGGTAAATATCTGCTTAAAAAAGGAATTGAAAAGAAATTATATCCAAAAGAAACTTATTAAACTTATTATTTTTTTTAATTGATAAAATGGTCTATAATCAAATAACTAAAGTCATAATTTTCAGTTTATAAGTAAATATAGTAATTAAAAGATTTATTTTCTTAATATATTTTAGTTTCAGACAACTGGATTATTCATTTTAGTTGGATATAAATAATTACTGATATAATTGGATATCGTCCTATTATTGATAAATTTATTTTAGAAAAGTATGGACAAAATAGTTCAACTAATAGATGGAATCAACTTATTGAAAATAATTTAATTCGTTGTGTTTCTTATAATAAAAATTAAGCTATTATGTATTTATTCGATTAAGAAAGAAAAATCCACGATATTGAATTAACAAGTATACTGGATAATGAGGGCAAAAAAAAATTTTTATTATTTTCTTAATTTTTATTAAAAGGAGATCTAACTCAAAGTATTAATATTTGGAATTATTATAAAGAATTCTCATTTAAAAAATAAGAAGATAAAAAATAAGATGACTGTGAAATTATTTTAGCAAGTTAGGAATAAGAAATATTATAACAACTAATTTATAATCTGAATTCTGAAAAAGATGAAGTTATTTAAATTTATGAAGGAATTGTTTAATCTTTTTCGAAATATCCTCAGGAATCTGATTAAATGTTTATATAAATATTTAAGGATGATCAGGAAACATCTTAAAAATAATTGTTAGAAACATTTAAAAAATTAATTATATTATCCTATAAAATTTAAGAACTATCATAGTTTGAAGCTTCTAAATTTGATATCTTTTAACCCCACTAAGAATAATTATAGAATCAAAAAAAATTAAAAGGATAAATTGATCTTTTTGTGAAGATAGAAATCGAAGAATTTATTAATTAACTTGTAGATTTTTTTTTCATTTTTATATAATTTGTAAGTACTGCTTATAGCAAGAGTATATTTTTAGATTCAAAAAACTAAGTTAATTAAGATAATAAAATTAATTAATTAGAAGTTGATAATTTTTAGAAGTTTTTTTTAAACTTTGAAGCTAAGTTTAATTAATTTTCTTTAAATTTAATTTAATATAAAACAGATTTTGAAAAGTTTTTAAGAAAATAAAAAGAAATCTTATAAGAAATACCAGCTTAAAATATCATAGACACTTTTAAGTCTAATTGTAATGGAGAATTGATCAATATAATAATTAACAAACTTTAAAGCAATATATATAAAGATAATCTTTATTTATATGATTTCTAATTAAGAACTCTAGACGATGCAAAGTAAAATTTGATTCAGTGTAAGTTTATCATGCTAATATTTAAATTTTTAAAGTAATTCTCCAATATACAATAAAAAAATGTTGAGGTAATTTATAACTAGTTGTTAAATTACACCAAAAAAAATGAAGAACAAATAGAATTCCGAGATGATGTTTAAAAATAGATTATTGTTTCTGTTTTAACTTAATAAAAATTGAAAATCACATAATTGTTGGGCTAAAATATTAACGAATCTGATTAAAATTTTTAATTTTGTTGTAATAGTTATCTGTCTTAAATACAATCTGATTTTATTGTTATTAAAAAGGAGTGTGGTAAATAAGAAAAAACTTACATACTAGAATTTTTTACAGAAGTTTAATTTCAAATTCTGTAAGTTTTAAATTAGATTGAGAATATTTCAATTTTAAAAAATCTATTAGAAAAATATGATGAATTTATAAAAATAATATAATCATTAGGATAACCGCATTCTCAAAATGATGAGTAAGAATAAGACTTTGAGAGTATGCCATAAAGCTTTTAGAATTTGTATAAGAAAAATAATAGCAAACTTATTTTAGATATAAAGAAAACTAGAAAATATTTTAAATAATATGAAAAAATGTTAATTCTTTAAATCGATTTATTAGATTAGCCAAATGAAGTATAAGATTAGACAAATAAATTTTAATAATTTTAGGAGAAAAGAAGAGATATTTTTTTTTGCGAAAATGTAAAAACTTAAATTAAAAAATTAATTGAAAGTTTATCTGATTACTATTAATAAAAAGAATAAGAATAAGAATAGGAAAAAGGATAAAAAAAAGATTTTTCACTAAAACTGATGGAATATTTGGCTTTTTTCCATTCANATAAAATTAATTAATTAGAAGTTGATAATTTTTAGAAGTTTTTTTTAAACTTTGAAGCTAAGTTTAATTAATTTTCTTTAAATTTAATTTAATATAAAACAGATTTTGAAAAGTTTTTAAGAAAATAAAAAGAAATCTTATAAGAAATACCAGCTTAAAATATCATAGACACTTTTAAGTCTAATTGTAATGGAGAATTGATCAATATAATAATTAACAAACTTTAAAGCAATATATATAAAGATAATCTTTATTTATATGATTTCTAATTAAGAACTCTAGACGATGCAAAGTAAAATTTGATTCAGTGTAAGTTTATCATGCTAATATTTAAATTTTTAAAGTAATTCTCCAATATACAATAAAAAAATGTTGAGGTAATTTATAACTAGTTGTTAAATTACACCAAAAAAAATGAAGAACAAATAGAATTCCGAGATGATGTTTAAAAATAGATTATTGTTTCTGTTTTAACTTAATAAAAATTGAAAATCACATAATTGTTGGGCTAAAATATTAACGAATCTGATTAAAATTTTTAATTTTGTTGTAATAGTTATCTGTCTTAAATACAATCTGATTTTATTGTTATTAAAAAGGAGTGTGGTAAATAAGAAAAAACTTACATACTAGAATTTTTTACAGAAGTTTAATTTCAAATTCTGTAAGTTTTAAATTAGATTGAGAATATTTCAATTTTAAAAAATCTATTAGAAAAATATGATGAATTTATAAAAATAATATAATCATTAGGATAACCGCATTCTCAAAATGATGAGTAAGAATAAGACTTTGAGAGTATGCCATAAAGCTTTTAGAATTTGTATAAGAAAAATAATAGCAAACTTATTTTAGATATAAAGAAAACTAGAAAATATTTTAAATAATATGAAAAAATGTTAATTCTTTAAATCGATTTATTAGATTAGCCAAATGAAGTATAAGATTAGACAAATAAATTTTAATAATTTTAGGAGAAAAGAAGAGATATTTTTTTTTGCGAAAATGTAAAAACTTAAATTAAAAAATTAATTGAAAGTTTATCTGATTACTATTAATAAAAAGAATAAGAATAAGAATAGGAAAAAGGATAAAAAAAAGATTTTTCACTAAAACTGATGGAATATTTGTCTTTTTTCCATTCATTATTTAATAGTAACTATTTCAATTAAATGAAAGTAGATAAAATTAATGATTCCATTTGGTAAGATATTAAAAATGCTTATTAAAACACGAAAGAGAAGCTTCTTGACTTAATTAATTTTAAACCTGATCATAAAATAAGAGAAGGTTTAGTCTATAATTTAATAAGACTATAATTTAGTATATAAGAGTAATAGATTAATTCCTTTTCAACTAAATATTTATAATTCATGTGGATTTACGAAAAAGATTAAAAAGTTAGAAATTTGTTGAAGAATAAAGAATTAATTGAAATATAGAGATAGTTATTTGCTTAGGATTTAGATAATTTATCTGGCTAAATAAAAGATGAATTGAAAGAAAAAATGATAAGATTAGAAAACCTTTAATAAAGAATCAAGCTCGAAGGAAATTAATAAAAAAGAGATCAACTTTAAATAGAATTAAGGAAAACATATGATTAGCTAGATGAATCATTAGATAATATTTCAGAAATGTCAGAGGCGATGGATATTAGCTTAATATTCCTTAAAGATATTTCAAAAGATGTAAAATAAATAAAAATTTAAATTGACAAAATACAAGAGAGCATAAATTAAGTAGCCGATGATGTTCGTAAATTAAGAGGAAAAAATTATAAAGAATTATTAGAAATTAGAAAACAAAAGATACTATTTCAATCAAAATTATCTGATGTAGATTCTGTTTATATATAATTAAAAACAATTGAATATAATCCTGTTACTGGGGAGATAATTAAAAATGAAGAAAAAGAAATAACTTAATTGATGTAGGATTAATGGAATGATTTTAAAGAGGGAGAAATTAATGAATTTATTTGGAGGGATGGAAAAAAAAAAGATGTTATGTTACTTTCAGGAAATGCAGGTTCTGGTAAAAGTAAAGCAGCCAGAAAAATTGAAGAATTTCTATGGAAATAATAAGATAAAATAGAATAAAACGATAATAATCATAATAATAATAAAGAAGAAATAAAAATAAAATGGACTCCAATATTTGTATCACTTCCAACAATAAAAGATCCGAAATATAGTTTATTTGAATAAGCCCTAGAATCTGAAAATTATTAGTTTGATTAGTATTAAGTTAGAGAATTCAAGGAAGCTATTTAAAATAAAAAAGAATTTATTATTTTAATACTTGACAGTTATGACGAAATGAAATAAGAAAATATTTAATCTAATCTCATTATAACAAATAAACTATTATAAGATTTAAATATAGATGAAACAATTAATTAAGTAAAGTTTATTATTACATCAAGAAAAGAAATATTGAATACTTTAGGTTATTAAACATGGTTTTATGGAAAAAGCTTAAAAAGTATGAAAGAAGTACAAATTTAAGATTTTAATAAAGATTAAAAAAAGGATTATTTAGTTCAATATACTGAACTTAGTGTTAAGAGAATAATTAGAGCAAGTTATGATTTTTTAAAACAGTGTTCATTAGAAAATTTTAATTTAGATGAGTTTTTGAATATATGGAGTTTGATTTAATCTAAAATGTAACAATGCATTTAAAATAATAAAGAAAAATAGAATGAATCCTTTTTTTAAGAATATGAGATAGAAAATATTGTTAAATAAATTTTAGAGCTTCCTCTTTTTACTAATTTAACAAATGATTAAATAATTAGTTTAAAAAAGGATTTAGCATCCATATGGAGTGTATATAAATTTGAATAAGCCATTTAAAATGTTGGTGTTAATGATTTATTATCAACACCATTCATGCTAGAAATTGTTGTACAAGTATTGCCTAATTTGGAAAAAAGATAATAAGGTTCAGTTGATATTAAAAATAAATTTGTTTAAGTTTATATGAATATTAAGCAGAGATCAATAATCTCATAAGTGTTGAGAGAACAATATAAGAACTAAATCATAAAAAAAGATTATGATTAAACAAATAATTCATAATTTGATGGAAAAAAACCCTTTTAGAATCATACTTTTAAATAAAATTTTGATTAATCTTAAATTACAATATAAAAACTTTTAGATGACTTAGAAAGTAAAAAATTTTTCTAGTTTTAATCCCTAACAAGCAATATAAAATTTGATAAAAATAATTCAGAGATATCCATTATAAATGAATAAAATAAAATAAGGATTAAGAAAGAAGACATAGAATTTGTAGTTCAAGCATTATAAATGAAGAAATTTACAATATATGAATTTTATGAAAGTTTTATGCATTTCTATCATGATTAATAAATTTAAAAGCTAAGAGATTAAGGAAAAATATCAAACTTGGAAAGTTTTCAAGTAGATCTTTACAATTTTTCATCAAATTTGGCTTTAGAAATGACTATAAATGAATTATCATTGATTTAATATCAATAAAAAGGGAAATTGAAATTGAAAAATAATTATCAAAAATATCAAGAGGATAATGATTGGTTTGATGAATATTTTGATGATTCTTAAAATGAGCATGAATACAATAAATTAATTAGAAGTTGTGTACTTTTGAATGCTAAAGGATGTAGCTATTCCTTTACTCACAAATCTATTTAAGAGTTTTAAGTTTCAAAATACATTTTAAGTTTTTTAAGTTCTCTTAATACTTAAAAATTAAATTATAGTTTCTTAGAATCTAAATATTCTAAGAGATTATTAGACTCATTATATAATAATGATAGAATGAATCTATCAAAAGATAATTATAAAGGGATATTAAAATTTATCAAAGAAAAATTAAAAAGTATAGAAAACATTAAAAATATTCTAATTTATATAGTTTAATTATCTTGTGATAATTAATTTATAAATGCTGCTTCAAATAGCATGTATTTGTTAAATTATTTAGATATTTATCTAGGTTATTAAAATTTTAGTAAAATTTAATTATCTAATACAAATTTATCAGGTTTTAACTTCTTTTTTACAGACTTAAGCAACTCTAAATTTTCAAATATTAACATAAATTCATGTAATTTTAATTATTCTAATTTAACAAATGTCGTTTGGAAGGATATTGTATGTAAAGAAAAACCTAATTTAAAAGGCCACAATTAAAGTGTTAAATTAGTTTAATATTAACCTAATGGTGATTTAATCGCATCTTTAGGAGCTGATGGTATTATAAAACTTTGGGATATTTATAATTATCAACCAATATTAGATAATTTTGGCATATAATAAATTACTTCAATTGCTTTTTCACCTGATAGCAAAATTTTAGTTTATGGAACTGAAGCAAATAAGATAGAATTCTTGAATATTTAGGATCGTAAAGTTGATCTAAGATTAGATTATCATAAATATCCACTCACTGGAGTATAATTTTCATCTGATGGAAAGAAAATAGTTTCACAAGATACTTCATAAAGGATAATACTTTGTAATTTAGAAAATATTAGAAACATTTAAAATAGTCCAATGGAATTAATATTCGATTAAAAACAAAAAATTTTAATTTATACTTACTCATATGATGATAAAATGTTGGCAATTGGATTAGATGACTCGAGTATTAATTTAATTGAAATAAATACAGGGAAAGAAAACAATTTGATTGGCCATACTGGATAAATAAAAACCTTAGCTTTCAATAAAAATGGAACAAGTTTAGTATCCGCATGCTCAAATTATCTATTATTATGGAATTTAATAGATAATTATAAAGTTTAAATTTTGTCAGTTTTAGAATATTAAATAAATAGTTTATTATTATTAGATGAAAAGGAAATAATCATTGGTGCAGATAATTATATAGCTTATGGATAATTTTAATATAATGATACTGATTACTGTATAAATATAAAATACTCATATCCAGTTAAACTATTTCCAAAATCTGATTTTGCTGTTATTGTTTAAGACAAGATTATTCACATACTTGATTTAAATACTTCAGTTATAATTAATAGTATAATTTTTGATAAAGTTATTGATGAAATTGAAATTTCTAATGATAAATAGAGAATATTATTATTCAATAAGTATAATGATAAAATAGATTTAGATTTGAATACTTTTTAATAAATTATTATTTAAAAATTTCTTGAGAATAAGATTATCTATTAATATAATGATTTGGTAATGGAGAAGCTTTAATAGCAAATTGTATTCTATAATATAGAAAATTAAGAAATTGAGAATGAAAATAAATGCATTAATATACTTGATAGAAATGTAAAATAATTCTCTATCTAAAATAATTAAAAAATTATGGCTTGCTTAGATTTTAAGGATAAGATGTATTTATATGATTTAAAAAATAAAATAGAAATTGAAATTGAAACTGAAATTAAAGAAAAGATTATAAAAATAGCATTTTCACCTTTAAAACCTATACTATCTACTATAAATAAAGATGGAAGTTTATATTTTTGGGATATTAATAAAAAATTAACTGAATATGAGAAATTCAGCGATATTGATGATAATACTAAAGTAAAATTGATTAATTATTCACCTGATGGAACATTGTTAATTATTTATTCTGATGATTTAAAAATTAGAATTTTAGATGAGATTAATGGATAGAAAATAAAAATAATAGATATACCATATAATATTAAATCTGATATATAAGTATCATATGATAATAAGACTTTGGCTTTTCAGGATTGCAATGGTATCTAATTGTTAAATCTTATTGAAAATAAATAATAAAATATTTTCAACAATAAACCATAATCAGAAAAAACAATTTTTTCTTTTAGCCCTAATAGAATAGCTTTAGTATTATTAGATAATGATAATTTACTGTTTGTTAATATTAATACAGGAGATTAAATAATTAATATATAGCCTCCAAATAATGAATATTATCAAAGTATTTGTTTTTCATAGAATGGTGAAATTTTAGTGACTGTTAGTAAATACTTGAGAATATGGAAATGTTCTGAGAATAAGATTGAAATGATTGGTGCTAAGATATTTAAAGATTAAATTAATTAAGTAGCATTTATAGAGGATGATAAATATTTGTTGTATAATATTGGTTCAATTTTTACATAATTAAGAATGATTCCTTTAACAAATTGCAACTTAAAAGCAATATTTACTGTTAATTAGGATTTTGTCTAATTCTTAAATGATGGATAATACATGTTAACTAGTGATTTTTGTACGAATGAAATTTTCGATTGTAAATTGTAGAGATCCATAGCTACATTTTAGGCTTCCCTGCCTAATGTAGTGTTCTTTTAATAAAGCTTGAAATGTTTAATAGAAGAATAAAATAAAATTTATCATTTCAATATTTTATCCAATAATAAAATATTAATTTTCGAGAGTGAGATAGCAATACAATAAATTAAGCTCATCCATAATGATAAATTTCTTATAGTAGAAAGGAGTTATTATTTAGATATATTTAATATTGAAAATATAGAATAAATATAGAAAATAGATAAAAAGAAATAAATACATCAATTCAAAAGTGAAAATTTATAAAAATTTTCCTGGTCAGGAAATAATCACTATATTTGTTATAGACCTAATTCTGATTTTGTGATTAGACAATTTAAAACTCAAAAAAATGTTACTTTGCATTATTCTGACTAGATGATATAATAATTATAACCTATTGATGAAAAAAAGATTTTGTTTAAAACCTATAGTTATAAAATCCTTACATTATCTAATAAAGATGAAGAATATCTTTCTGATTGTTTTTTAGCAATTTCTTTTGATTAGAAATTAATTGCATCAAGTTAATCCGCTAGTATTGTTTTATATGAAAAAAATAATTAAGAAAAGTAGTTGTCAATTTTAGATTGTAAAGAATCTTTAGATTGTGAGATCTTTCCTGGTTATAACTATAAATATTTCGATTCTGGGTAATTTTCAAGAGATGGAAATTAATTATTTTGCCTATCTAAATGTAAGAAAGTATTTATCATAGATATCAATGATAAATAATAAATGAAAATTCGTAGCTTTATCGAGTTTTAGTATCAGGAAAATATTACAAATTCTCCTTCATTAAATTACTTATCATTTACAGAATTAACAATCATTAAATTAATAAATATGAATTGGATAGTATAAACAAATATGTTGAGTCTGAAAACAAAAAAAAAAGAAGAAGAAGAAGACAAAAATTCATAATTTTTAATATGCAATGATAATTCTAAAATAATTAGAGTATTTTCTAATAAATTGTGGATTTATTAAATTGATTAGGTGATGTAATTTGAAAAGAAAGATATTGGAGGATGTATAGAATGTTTAGTTGAAACAGAAAATGGTAACATTTGTGTAGGTTTTGAAAATATGATTTAAGTAGTTAATTTAAATAGAGACTAAAATTAAGAAAATGTTTTTTTACAAGGACATGAGTAGAAAATTTTAACTCTCTGTTACTCTTAAAATAATTAGTTATTAGCATCAAGTGGATCTGATCAAAAGATATTTTTGTGGAATTTGAGTGCTAAGAAAAAAATAGCAGTTTTAGAAGGTCATTAAAAAACTGTAAATTAATTAAGTTTTTCATCTGATGGAATTACTTTAGCATCTGCAAGTGATGATTAATTAATTAAATTATGGAATATATAATCAAGTGAATAGACTAAAATATCAAAAGGGCACCAAAAATGTGTTAATTTTGCGACATTTTCAAAAGATGGTCTAATGATTGCATCTTGTAGTGAAGATAAGTCTATAATCTTATGGGATTTAATTGAAAAAACTTTTATTACTAAATTAGAAAATCATACAGATGAATACTGCTATTTATGTTTCTCTTCTTCTAACAAAAGATTAGCATCAGGAGGATAAGGAATTATTTGGATATGGGATATTACTATTCCAAATGAAGCAAAACTTTTCTTTCAGATAAAAGAGGATAATGTTTCTAATTTATTGATTGCTCAAGAAACATTTAAATTTGGAAACATTTAAATTTGCTATGTTGTATAGTAATCCAACTCAAGAGGATGATGTTGATGGTTCATAATTATATGTTTAATTTTGGAATTTGGATTCTGAAGATAAAAATTATGAAAAGAGTTCAAAATTAGAAACCTTTGAATAAAATGAAGACATATTTTGTCTTTCATCTGATAGTCAATATTTATTTTATGCTTATAATAAAACAATTAAAGTTTACGATATTAAATTGAAATAAAATTTAGATTTAGAAGGACATTAGTATATAATAAAAAGTATCAATTCTTAGTAATATTCTAATTTATTATTATCATTAGATTAATAAAATATTATTATTATTTGGAAATAAAGCTAATTTTAATTTAATTGGGAAATAATATCCCAGATCTTATTAGAACCATTAGTTAAATAAATTGAATTTTATCACAGTTATTAATTACAAATTGATTGTGTTGCATCAATGAATGAATACTCGATAGTTCTATCAAACTTAGAAGTAATGAAGAAATCAACTTTTAAGAAAGATTTGGATTAATTTATTAGTGATGATATCGAATTGATTTATTTATCAAAAAGCGAAAACTTTTTTGTAGTATCAACTAATAGAGAAATTATATTATTAGATAGTATTTCTGGAGAAATTGTAGATAAGATTTTAAAATAAAAAAAGCCACTTTAGTTATCAATATCTTAAGATGACAAATATTTGGCTATTTTATATCCTGATATTATTAAAATCTTTTAATTATTTTAATAGAATAATAGAGAGATAATTGATATTACTGAGTCTATTTAGGCACTTGAGTTTTGTTGGAATGACTCAAATATTCTTTATACAGCCTAAGAAATTAATGGTTTAATTAAAATTTGGAATTTAAAAAGTAAATAATATGAAATTAAAATTAATATAGGTTCTAGTTGTTAGATTTAATTTTCTAAAACATAGAATATTTTAGCTGTTTTTTCTTATGAAAAATAAATTTCTATAATTAATATTGATTCTAAAGAAAACTTTTAATAAGATTTTATAGAGAAATTTGACTTAATCACTTTTTCTTAAAATGGAAATTTAATCGCTACTGTCGCATATAATACAATTAAGTTAGTGAATATATCAGATAAAAGAATTTGCTCGGAATTTTATTTATTTCCCAGGACTGAGATACTTTATATAGCTTTTTCATAAGATGATAAACATTTAATTTGTTGTTAAGACTAATCAATTTTAATTTTTAATATTTAAAATGAAAGATAATTAATAATAGAAAGATTTTAATAATTTGAAACATGTGCTTTTTGTACATTCTGTCTTAAGAATTAATCAATTTTACTATTCTAAAAAAAAGGTGAAAAATATACAAAACAATTCTTTAAAATGAATTACAAATAATAATTAGGAATTTTATATGATAAGAATCATATGCCATAAAGTTTTGCGATAACTGATGATAATTATTGTTTAACTATAAATTAAAATGGTTTAATTTTATGGGATATAAATAGTAAAATATAATTAGTCAATAGTACTAGATGGAGCGGTGATAAAGTACTTGCTTGTGAAAGATTAAAATTTATTATAAAAAATCGCAATAAGATCGCAATTTTAGATATTTCTGACATAAATAATATTATTGAAACTATCCTACCAATTCAATAACCTGTTAAGTTTATTTCACTATCTTCAAACCATTCTTCATTACGTTATTTATTATGTGGATTCTTATTGAATGAATAATCATATATTAAAGTATGGGCTATTTACTAGTCTAAAATTTAATCGCTACAAGTCTTTAAATATACAAAGTAAGAAGTTACAAATATGGCATTTGGTAATTATGGGTAATTCTTAGTTTATAATGGAAAAAAAAAATTAAAATTATATATGATTAATTATTAAACAACAATTGTTGAGTTATTCAAACCTGCAAATAGCCATTTTTTCTTATCTTAAGATGGAAACTATTTTTTTATGTTAATGGATGATAGGCTCTGCATGTTTGATTAATAGTTAAAAGAAATAGAAATTTAATAGTAATAATAACTTTAAGGAAAATTCTCGAATATAAATAGAATAAATTAAGCTTCTAAAGTACTAAAATTTGCTTTTTTATGTGGTTAATAAATTATAATTGTTGATATTATTCAATAAAATAGTTAATTTATTAGCGAAGAAATTATTGTAATTGATGAAGAAAAACCTTAAACTGTTGCTCTTAGTCCTTTTGGAGATCTTTTAATTACTGGTGATCAAATTGGTACAATTAAGCTATGGGACTTAAAAAAAATTTAAGAACCATTATGGGTATTTAAAAATGAAAGCCATATTATTCAAAGATTTTCATTCAATCCTAATGGAACAGATATTGTGGCAGCTGTTGGTGATGGCTCTGTTAATTTATATTCAATAGATTATTTTGAAGATTAAAATATTCTTGAAAATAATGATAATTAAAAATAAAACTAAAATTAAAGTTAAGTAAAAGATAAGGAAGATAAAAAATTGAAATTTACTTGTTATAAATCTTTTACGAGATAGTCGTTGATATAAGCAGATCATTGTAAAATCAATAATTCACAGATCTGTTAAAATGGAAAATCAATTCTTGAGCTATTTAAATAAAAAGGGGCCATATGATAATTATTAATAAATAAATCAAATAATTGAATTTTTTAATTATTTAAAATCTTAATTTTATAAGATTATTCTACCATCATAACAAACTAATAATAATTCATCTTATAATTACAATCTATTTCAATCTATCATTATAACTCTTATAATTTTTAATCCTACAATAAGAATTTTTACTCTTTATATATGATATCTTAATTTCCAAGCTTTAGCCATCGAAAAATAAGACAATAATATTATTTTTGAAACATTATAAGTTAAACATAGAGTATTTAATTTTATAAAATAAAACTTTATCATTTTTCTTTATTGTAAATTTTCATCATAATCTGAAAGAAATCCCAGGATTTAAAATTTGATGTGAAGAAGATACTTAAACTTACTATCTTTAAATAAGAAGAACTATATATATTATTTTGAAAATTAATTATTTAAAAATTGAGTAGTAATATTAATGAATGTTTATAAAATTAATTATTTGGTAATTTATAAAAAGAGTTAGTAATTTGTCCAAGAATATTGATTTTAAATAATATTTTCTATTCGATTTAAATTGATTTAATCTAGAAGCCGTTAATAAATAGATATATAATATATTATAAATTATTAATGATTATTAAATAATCGCATTTGAATTTCTCTAAAAGCTCTAGTAGGATAATTTTACTAAATAAGTTTTTTTTAAAATTACAATTTATGCTAAATGAAATATATTCAAATGGAACAAAAAGCTATTGTATATTTTGAAAAATCAATAATACTGATTCTGATGAACATTTTTAAGGATTAGAATAATTCATCCCGATGTTATTGTTTTAATATATAAAAAATTTGATCTCTCTAATAAAATTATCTTTTTGAATAGAATTATTACTATTACTTAATTTCTAATTGTCTAAACTAATATTAACAAATTTGAAAATTACAACATTTATAAAACCACTCACATTAAAATATTTTTACTCAACCAATTGAAAAATAATTTTAAAAAGAAATTTGAACTAGATTTAACACTTAGAAAACTCAAACGAACTAAAGAAAATGACTTCAAAAAGAAAAAAAGTATTGCTGAGATGGATTATTAATAAAATAAAAAATATTGATTTAGCGATCAGAAAAAAATTTGTAGTAGGCTTTTCTTAATAAGTTTAATCTGGATTAAAAAGCAGTTAGTTGTGAAAGATTTAGACTAATTTTAAAAAAGAATTGTAGAATGACTTATAAAAACCCATTTAAAAAGGATAGGAGAAGTACTAAATTGTGAAATTTGATTACACCATGTTTTTTTTAACGCTAAATAGAGAACATTTTGAGTTTATATTAATATATGAGACTTCTTTTTGACATACTTACCAGCCTTCTAGATGCTGGTAACTAAAAAAAGGATGCAAAAATATAAATTTAATCTTCACAACAATAACAGATTTCAATTTTGGGTGCATTAGGAATAAATGGATTTTTGGCTTATTAATACGTTTTGGGAACCATTAATTGGTAAATATATGCATTTCATCTAGTATCATTAATAATAATGTAGTGTCATCATTATAAAGAAAGAAATACTATATTAATCTTTGATAATAGCCAAAAGCACAAGAGCTTAGTGGTAACAAGAATACTGAATGATACATTCCATAAATTTGTTCCAATTTATTACCCTTAGCTCAATCCTTTTGAAAAGATCTGCCATCCATTTGAAGAATTACTTAAATAAAAAAACATTTGTTATCAATGGTAATTTTCAAATAAATAAATATATGAATTTAATTGACTCAAAAAGTTTAAATAGGTAGATATATTCTATCATACTATTTCTTAAAAAGAGATTAAACAAGGAAGTGTTCTGAATTTTATTATTATTTTATTATAAGTTTACATTATGATTCGACTCAATAAGTCAAAATACATTTATCAAAACAGAGTAAATCTGTTTTATAAAATTTTTTGATAATACCATTAAATTAATTAAAATAAATTTTTCTCTTAAAAATTATTAATTACCCTCAAATCTTATCTAAAGAATAAGTTTAAACATCTAAATTTATGCAAAATACCAATAAAATTTATGTAAGGAGATATTTAAGTAGTCTCCTTATTTTTTTGAAACTTTTCATTTTTTAGAAACACTCAATGTATTATAATAATAATACTTCTGAAAATTTATTTATGTAGATAAACTTAATATTCTTCAAATTTTTTGAAGCATCCGAGATATTATTGAAAAAATTCATTTTTTAACGATAAGTATTGGTCCATATTTTAGTTAAACAAATGTGGTTTACTATTTCAAGTTTTGAAAATTATTATTTATAACTCATAAAAATTAAAAAAAATTTTAAAATAATAAATAAGATTACCATTATTTTCTCATCTAAGTCTTGAATTGATTGCTAGTTTACTTCATTATCTTTTAAGTTCAGAATTTGTAAGATAAAATATTAATCTTATACTACTATTGTTATTGAGCAGATTAATATTTAAAAAATTTCATTATATCAAAATAATAGATATATGATAAATTATTATCTAAATCATAATTAACCATTAAAAATTTTATAAATTTTTTAAATATTTTGAGAAAAAAAATAATTTATTTAATGATATAAGAAGTTAGTTCAGCTTTATTTAATTGAAAATTTCTTTATTTAGATACTGGATAGGTGTATAGAATAGTTGTTGGTAAAGTATGAGTCTTAGATGTCAATATTCATTGGTGTAAAGGCTAACTGGCATCAATTACTGTCTGGAAACATATTCACTGAAACGAGGGGTAGTTGTATACAAATAGTAATAAAAATAATGATTTTACGATATAGCTCTTTAATATTTTATTTAATGTTTCTGATAATTCTCCTTACATTATTTGTTGATTAATAATTTGAAAAAGCTTCTTTTTCTTAAAAAATCTTATCAATAAAAAAACAAATATATGATTTTATTATATAATCATTTTAAATTATTTTTAGTTTAATTATTTAGAGAATTCATTTTTTTAGATAATTTATGTTTCATTTTTTCGGATTAAGATTTAAATTATTAGGCTTTTGATGAATCACTATTCATTTAATTTTTTATTAAGTTTCACTAATAAGTTTTTTTTTGACTTTCATGATTATACTGTCTGTTCATTCTTATATTAAAATGGAGGACTTGGTTTATTCTTGTTTTTCATAAGAATTTATTAATATATCAACCAGATTATGAATAAATTAAATATAATTGGACTTAATTTATATTGATATTTAATGTAAATTATTTATGCAGTTTGATTCCAAAATTTATTGACTTTCATAAATATAAAATCCCCTCTTCTAATAATTTTTTTATACAGCTTTCTAATCTACAAATCAATTAATACCAAGCTATCTCAAGACAAAAAAATCAGTGTTTACTTTTCTTAAATAGACAAAATTCTTATTATTTTCAATATTAAATTTTATTAAAGCATATATATTTCATTTAATATTAAGTTAATAATAAATATGTTTAATAATTTTTCAAAAAAGGCACTGAGAATCCTAAAAAAAGTTGATATGTTTTCATAGCCTGTTTTACTATTGATCAAATAAGAACAGGGACATAAAACATTATTTGGTGCTTGCTTGACTTTGGGATTGATTTCTTTCTTCCTTTATCTACTTATAATAAATCTACTTGATTTAAGGCAAGGTAAAAACCTAAATTCACTGTCAGCTGAGATTTATCATGCATCACCAAAATAATTCAAAATGAATGAATAAAATTTTACATTAACTTTTGCCCTTTAATCGTCCTCTTTCAATACATATATAGATGAATCAATCTATGTTGTGGAAGCAAAAATTTAAACTAAAACCACTAAAATGTATTAAATGAATTCAATTATTAGTTTAGATAATTAAAAAATTAATGAATGGACTTAGTAAGATCTTCCATTAACAACTTGTGTTCCAGAACTCATTCGATAAGTTGAATTATAAGAATATTTTTCTCATTTAGATTTACCAACTAATTATTGTATTGATTGGGATAGAATTAAAGAGCTAAATTTAGAAGGCACTTTTGGTTCTCTAGTTTATAGTGCTATTTTATTAGAATTTAAAATTTGCAATGATTTAACAAAAAAATCAAAAGAATGCAAATCAAAGGATGAAATTAAAAAATAGTTAGAATAGAATTATTTTTCTTTTTAAATGTCCTCATACGTTGTAGATGTGAAAAATGATAATTACCCTTTTTTATCAAAAGTAGAAGATACTTTCACTACTATATCTAGTAAGATTTTTAAAGAAATATCTTTTTATATGTAGCCAATTACAGTATTTACAGATGTAGGACTTATAAATGAAGATTACTAAGTTCAAAACACCTTAAGATATAAAAGACATTCAGAAATGATTGACTTAAATGAGAGTGATTTAATCATGAATGTTGTAATACGATTAGATTAAATTGAATAATAATATTATAGAAACTACACCAAAATTCAAATAATCATAAGTTAAATGGGCGGACTTTGGCAGGTATTTTTTATTGTTGCTTTTCTTCTTTAGAAACCAATAAATATTCTTTCTTATTATGTTAAAATTGTAAATTCGTTATTTGAATTCGAGTAAGAGAAAAAACCATTTATAAATAAAAGAAAAAAATATCATAATCCAGAAACACTATAATAAGAATTTTCTACAAGATAATAATATCAATCTACCAGAGAAGTATCATTTTTTCAGAATAAAAACAAAATACGACAAAGATTAGAATCTATAAAAATAAAGTAGAAACAAATGGAAGCGATAGATTCTCAAGTTTTAGATCCTTTATCAAAGGAAGAAACTAAGAAACAATTAACAAGAGCTTTATCATTTTCAATTAAATAATATTTTCTTAGCATTTCAAAAAAGTTAAAAATGAAATGGACTGATTATTTATATTTCATAAACTGCTTCTCTAAGTAAACTATATATTTCATTTAGTTCCAAAAATTATAAAGGTTTTTAAATTTAATACTCCTTTAATAAAATAATTAAGTAAATGGATATTTTATATATACTAAAAAAACTGCAGGAAATAGATAAATTGAAAATGATATTATTGACAGAATCTTAGATAAAGATATTTGATTATCTGTAAAAACCTACAATTCCGTTAGATACAGATTCAGCATAGTTTAAAATAAATTAAAATTATTATTCTATATTAAAACCTATAAAAAGTGATTATTAGAAGGCTATTGATGCTTAAAATGCTTTTAAAGATATTGTTGAAAATTTAGATAATCCTATTAATATTAAATTAATAAATTCTATAGATTAAACGATAGTAGATTTATTAAAAATGAAAAAAGATAGTTTAGATTAATTATCTTCAGATGATGTCTGTGTTAGCGAATAAAGATATGATCGAAATGCAGTGCTTACTATTGATATTAATTAGAGGCATTCTTCATTAGCAAATTGAAGACTATAATTAAAAAATTTATTTAGTGATTATTTTCAATTCTTTTATCATTTTCCCAGTTTTCTCCATTAAAGGAAAATCAAAAATAAAAATTTAACCCAATAAATATATATAAAAGATTTGATATTACTTTATTTAAAAAGATGTAAATCGGGTTTGTTAGTTTTTTTTAAAATTTAATAAATTTTCATAATTTAATTAATTTAATAGTTTATGTCAAAAATGATTTATAAACTTTGCAAAATGACATTTATACAACATAATAGAAAAAGATTATTAATAACTCCATTTTCTTATCTAAACATTTCCTAATAAGTATTTTCCATTAAAAAGATAATTAGTATTTTTGAAACAAATTGCTTAAAACTAAAACAGGATAAATAGTACCATAAAATAAATTTTCATTAGATAATGCTAAGCAATATTCTGATGATAAATTATTTGATAAATTAATTTCTATAGCTGATGCAATAGAAATTGATATCTTCCTAAGAAAATATTGTAAAATTACATCGTTTTATGATCAATAATTTGATTATATAGAAGAGTTGAGATATTTAACAGCATAGTTATTACAAATGCAATTAAAAGGACTAGTATAAAATAAAAAACAATTAAATTTATAATTAAATTCTAATGATAACTAATTTATTTGAATATCAATAATTAAAGCTTTTTTATGAGGATAGCTATAATTTAAGTATTTGAAATACAATTAGGCTAGAGAAGCTCATAATAAAGTTTCAAAATTCATTGGATGAATTATCTTAAATTGATAATAGACATTCTTTAGAAAACTAATAACTACATTTGAATAAATTTTCATAAAATTCTCAAAATCCAAAATCTTTTTCATCACTTTCTTGAATCATCAAACATTTTACCACTTATACCTTTAAAAACATAATGATCTTCAAATTATTTGACTCTTTCTTTCATATTTTTACAAATTTATTTGTAATTTTCTCTATTGAAAGTCATTCTACATCACTAAATAATTTGCTTGGTTGTAACTATTAACAATTATTCTTATTTATCTTTTTTACCCTATATTCATGTTAATATTTATAAACAATCCCTTTCAAGAATATATTTATCCAAAGCTAATACATTATATATTAAATAATTTATATTCTGAATTTTTTTCACTTTTGTCTTTAACATCTAAAATTAGTCCTAAGAATGAGCTTTAATAAGTAATATATAAAACCACAGTACAAAAAAATGGACATCAACTTTAATTTACACTTATATTTTTAAATTGATAATAATTTTGGTTACATGAGTAGAATTGCAATAAACAAATTTACTAATAGATGTATAAATCTACACTAAATATTCAATAAATTACATTTAATTATAAGAATATATATAAAAATAAAAGTAATAAACCATTATCAATTACAATATTCTTCAAATTTAATCATCCCTCAGTTTCGCAAAATTTTTGGTAATGGGCTATCTTTCTCAACTCCATTTTGGTGTTTCAGTTGGTATAGTTGTTCAAAAACAGATTTTACTTATCAATCAATTTTTTAGGCATGAATGCAAATGCCACTAATAATTACAAAAGCAATGTATAAATTCACTAATTTATTAGTTATCCCAAACCAAAGCCAAACATACATTATTTATTTGATTTAAATATAAAATGATATTCATTACTCTTCTGTGTTCAATTCAATTATCATAATTATTTTCACCTATCTTTTTCTTCTCTTCAATATCTCTATACTCCCATAGACCAATCTTAAAACCTTCATTATTATATAAACCAATTTATATAACTTGTTAACATTCATCAAAGCCATCATCCAACTCTTCCCATTTTCCAGCTTTAACTCCCTTTTAATTATACGATCCTCCACCACTAAAATTTATTTCTATTCTTAGATAAATTTTACACAAGTTTATATTCTTTGTCATAAAAAGAACAATATTTAGAATCCCATTGACCAATCTTCATCCCTTTCCAATTGTATTGACCTTCGTAAATGATTTATTTCTCCCAAAAAAAGTGTTCATCCAACTCAACCCATTTTCCAGTCTTAATTCCTTCTGAATCATAAAATCCACCACCTCAGACATATAACTATAATAAGATAAATTTTACATTGGTTCATAATTTTTGTAATTTTTAGCACGATAACAAATATCCCATCTATCTACCTTAATACCTTTCTTATTATATCTACCATTCTAAGTGATCTAAGCCTAGAAACAAAATCTTTCCCACAATTCTACCCACACCCCATTCTTTATTCCCTGTTAATCATAGGATCCACCACCACTAGATATCTTAAACTTTTACAATACTTACATTTTATTCTATACTTCTTCTCCTGGATTACAAAAGTAAATATCCCATTAACCAATTTTTATCCCTCTTACATTATAATCACCTTTATAAATGACTTATTTTTGCCAGTTAAACCCATCATCTAACTATAACCAACTCTATATTTTAATTCCCTCTTAATTATAAGATCCATCACCACTAAAACAATATTCTAATCTTAAACAAACTTTACATTTATCTGTATTTCTATTCATTATATTGACGATACTGAAAATCCCATTTATCTACCTTTATGCCTTCTTAGCTATATTTTCCATAAGAAATGACCTATGTATATTTTTCGAAATTGTCCCACAACTCTATCCATTATCCATTCTTAATTTAATTCTCTTAATCATATAATCCACCACCACTAATAAGTTTAACTTATATAAATTACATTTTTTTATATTCTTCTTATCCTGGATTACAATACTCAATATTCCATTTACCAATCTTCAAGCCTTTCATATTATATTCACCTTAGTAAATGATTTATCTCTCCAATTTAAACTGACTATCCAATTCTACCCATTTCCCAGTTTTAATTCCTTCTTCATTATAAGATCCACCACCTCTAATTTGATAATTACTGTATTTACATTTATCTATAACCACAATAAAAGGACCATTTTCCACATCTCTTTCCTTTTGAACACTAACCAATTTCTAACACATTTTTTTTACTAAGATAAAATAAATTATTAATACTCCGAATAGTTATCACATAATTCAATCTAATTACCATCCTATTATCCCCAAATATTGTATTAACAATATCCAATTTCTTATCCCTTCCAAAAATATTTCCATTTTCTTATTCTATTGCCTTTAACTCCATATTAACCTTCTACTTATAAATGTTTGGCTTATTCTAAATTTTAGATTGAATTAAATTTTAATTTTTTATTGTCATTTTCTAATACTTCAAAAGAAATAGAGGTTTATTCAGTTTATTATATACTATAAAATAATATGATAACTTACAATTTTTTTTCAATATTTTCGATAAGATGACAAAATTTATATAGATTATTAACCATTTCTTCTTGAAACCAATTATTCTTAATAAATTAACTGAGCTAAATTCTTTTTTCCATCTCTTTTTCAAAAATATCTCCATTGATAAAATTTACCAAAAAATCTAATTCAGAATCAGAGCATTCCACTGGGTTCAAATTTGGATGAATCAGTTAGATAAATTTATGATCTATATTTTTTTCATGTACTTAAATTGCTTAGATGGATTCCTTGATACTAGTTATAATCAAAATTATTTCTTCTTAAATTTTATCTAAAAGTTGGAGGGATTATTTAAAAATTTCCTTTGATTAACTTTATTCTAATTAGTGTTTGATATTTAAACTGTTAGATTTTTACAGCACTTTTTCAACGAAGTCTTTCAAGAGTAAGAATTATGTCAAGTTTATTTTTTTTTTTTAAATACATTCCATACAGATCTTTCTTTATTTTTAGTTCTGTCCTATATTAATACCTCCAATCTGTTGATTAAGATGATCATTACAAGATTAAGATTAATTGCTGAAAATCATTAAATAATATATTTATTTTATAATTATCTTGAGGTTTAATTATATTTAATTAAAAAAAGAAAATCTTTTTCTAAAAATCAATAAACAAATTTTTTAAAACAAGAATAATAATCCCTAAAATAATTAAATCAAAGCTAAAACTGTAGAATATTTGAGAGAATTTTAATGGTTTCACTATCAATCATCTTGTTCTAATAAAGTTGTTTATTTTTCAGTATTATTGAAATAATAAAAATTTAAATGTATCCAGAATGTCAGAATGTTCTATTCAAAAGAAAATAAATAATCAAAGAATATTGCCTAAATTGGGTTTTCATAAGATAAATTGTTACATTATGCTTTAGATCAATCCTGAATTAACTGCAATTATATTATATATGATGAACAATTGGTAGAAAGAAAATCATATTTTAAACTAAATTATTCTAAGTAAATCGAATTTTAAATCATTAAATTCCTATGAAAATTTACAATAAATTTGGTGTGGGGAACCAATTATTAATTTTTCATTTCGAACAGCGAGGCTAAAAGAAAATAAGCAATTCATTATGTTTCAGTTTTGGCCATTTCTTTATTCTGCATATGAGAGACAATTGATCAATGTTTTTTAGTTAAGACATTCGGTGAAAAAATTTTAGTTATTCTTATATTTAGATCTTTTTAAATCCTATTTTCATGAATATTTTTATTTGATTGAATTTCATTATTAATTGTTTGACTGTTAAGCCACTTAATTTAGAGTTATTTATCTCTTTAAGCTTAAAGTCTCTCCAGATTTATAATATATATTTTTCTTTATCCATTCTAAATCAGTTAGACCCTAAGTATATTTATTACAATAAATAATGTTAGTGTTTTTGTTAAATATTCTGATCCTTATTTTTTAAAGCTTAGCCAAGATCTTTAATTATCTGAACTTCTTGTATATACGTTTACTAGATCATATTAATGAAAAAATAATAATTATTCTTCCCAAAAAAGTATATATGTAAAATTCTAATGTTTAGAAGTTGCAATAAAATATGCACACATGGCCTTCATTATGATATGGGTACTATGTTTTTATTGAGAACTCCTTTTCCTGGAGGCTTTTTCTTATTTTAATTTCTGAACTATTCCTTCCTAATTGATAAAATCATGTCATTTTAAGGTTTTCATTCAAGTAATATTGACTTACATGACTTATAAGTGCTAACCATCTTCAAAAATTTTAAAGAGAGAAATTTTATGAGATGAAATATTATATAAAATATTTTTTATTTCAATCAATAAAATCAAGAATTAGTTAAATTAATAAATAGTTCCTGTTTTATATAATTTATTAGGATTTATATCTTATCTTGCATCGTTAATTAGAAATTAATATTTTAATATAAACTTTATTCTATTTTTTTGCTTTGAAAATTATCGACCCAAAAGATGAATATTTTGATATTAAAAGAAAAGCCAAAAATTTTCAAGATCTTTTTTTATAAAATCTTTCAAAATAAAAAAATAAAATTTTAAATTTCTTAAAATAGGAGTTTTTATGAGTAAAAAGTTATCAATATTTGAAATTATTCAAAATATCTTTAAATTGAATAAATTTCTGCAGTCAAATTGATCAATTTAAACATAAATAATCTTATTCCGTGTTTATAATTTTGTTTTTGTTCATTTTATAATTGCATGTTTTTTTAAAAAGACTTTTTTGATAATTTATTTGAGAACGATATGGCATTCTTGTAACCTCTCTTTATTAGATTAAAAAAATAAAACTATTTGATTCAATCAGTTTACTCTTTTCCTCTTTTAATTTATAAATTAGTTCGGAGATCTTTTTCATTAATGAATTAATTGATCAACAAACTAAAATTCTTTTAAAAAACAAATATGCCATTTGAAACTTATGATTTTTTAGATTAGAAGATTAACAGCAGCTTAGCATAAAATTAAAAATTAGATACGGTGATTCATAAAAAATAAAAAAAATCCTTAAGATAATACATTTCATAAAAAAAAAAATAGAAGTAAGTAGAAAGTAAAACTACCAAAAAAGAAATTTAAAAAAATTACTTAAATAAAGCCTCAAATTTACCTTAAAGAATAAAAAGAATAATGGAAATAAAATTATCAAATTAAATTATGAACAACATAAAAATGTTTGGTTTATTATTATCGAATATTCAATTATCATATGTCTTCTCCATAATTTAAAAATTTTTTTATTTATTAATTTTTACCCATGTGCCAACTTTTTTACCTTCTTCATTATATTGACCATGATTTATTATTTATTAAGTTTAAAAAAATACATCTTCAACTTCAATCCAAAAACCAATTTTTTTTAATTGTGCATTTTAATAATGATATGATCCTCCTCCTCTATGATAAATAATAAATTTTACATTAATTTGTATTCTTAATCATATTTTCCTTTCTATAATGTATCCCATCTACCATATTTTATTCCATCCTTAAATTCTCCAACATATATTAATGGATCACTTATTATATATAAAAATATCAGTATACTTTTCACTTTTATAAATTTAAATTCCATTTTAATCATAATTAATGCAACCACTATATTTTTAGATTTATTTATATTACCATAACGAATCTTTTTTATAAATATCCCATCTTCCAATTTTAACCCCATTTTTGTTATATAAACCATGATAAGTGATTTAAGATACAGAAGTATAATTATCAGACAATTCTATCCATTTTCCTACCTTTATTGAACTTTATCCTTCTTATTCTTCATACAATCCACCTCCACTAAAATATAAATAACCTATACATTTATTTATATATATTTATTCCATAATCATCTTAGAACAATATATTCCATATACCTACTTTATTTCCATTCATATTATAATTGCCATTATACATGATTTGCCTCCTCCTTTCAAAATTTTTCTATTCTTCCGTCCACTTTCCAATCTTCTTTGAACCTCTGTTGTATTCGAAATAAAATCCGCCACCACTAAAATATTGTAAAAAATTTACATTTTGTTATTTTTTTCCCAATTTTAATATATATTCCACTAACCTTTTTTATGCCCATTGTCATTATACACTCCCTGATAAGTTATTCTAGATAAATCATGAAATTCCTCACTCACTTCACACCACTTTCCAATCTTTTATGAATCACCATTTTTTAAATAGAATGATCCACCTCCACTAAAATAAATTATGCTTTTACATTTATTTATATTTTCTCATCCAATCACCTTTATATAATATATCCCATCTACCATATTTTTTTCCTTCCTTAAATTATCCAACATATATTAATGGATCCCTAATTATATATAAAGATCTCAGTATACTTTTCACTTTTATAAATTTCAATTCCATTTTCATCATAATTTATGCAACCACTATATATTTTAGATTTTTTTAGATTACCACAATGAAACATTTTTATAAATAGACCATCTACCTGTTTTAACTCCTTAATGATTATATTTTCCATTCAAAGAAAAACGTGAATAATTATAAAATTTATCCTACAACTCAACCCAATTTCCAATTTTTATTGAACCTCCTTCTTAATCCATATAAAATCCACCACCACTAACGTTCAATCAAGATTTACATTAATTTAAATTGTTTCCTTCCGTATGCTTCTTTAAAAATAATATCCCATTAACCAACTTTATAACCTCTCAGATTATATTCACCACTCATCATAACTTCTCTTTTCCATCCAAAATTCTTCCATTCTTCAATCCAAAAACCAATTTTTTTTAATTGTGCATTTTAATAATGATATGATCCTCCTCCTCTATGATAAATAATAAATTTTACATTAATTTGTATTCTTAATCATATTTTCCTTTCTATAATGTATCCCATCTACCATATTTTATTCCATCCTTAAATTCTCCAACATATATTAATGGATCACTTATTATATATAAAAATATCAGTATACTTTTCACTTTTATAAATTTAAATTCCATTTTAATCATAATTAATGCAACCACTATATTTTTAGATTTATTTATATTACCATAACGAATCTTTTTTATAAATATCCCATCTTCCAATTTTAACCCCATTTTTGTTATATAAACCATGATAAGTGATTTAAGATACAGAAGTATAATTATCAGACAATTCTATCCATTTTCCTACCTTTATTGAACTTTATCCTTCTTATTCTTCATACAATCCACCTCCACTAAAATATAAATAACCTATACATTTATTTATATATATTTATTCCATAATCATCTTAGAACAATATATTCCAAGATACCTACTTTATTTCCATTCATATTATAATTGCCATTATACATGATTTGCCTCCTCCTTTCAAAATTTTTCTATTCTTCCGTCCACTTTCCAATCTTCTTTGAACCTCTGTTGTATTCGAAATAAAATCCGCCACCACTAAAATATTGTAAAAAATTTACATTTTGTTATTTTTTTCCCAATTTTAATATATATTCCACTAACCTTTTTTATGCCCATTGTCATTATACACTCCCTGATAAGTTATTCTAGATAAATCATGAAATTCCTCACTCACTTCACACCACTTTCCAATCTTTTATGAATCACCATTTTTTAAATAGAATGATCCACCTCCACTAAAATAAATTATGCTTTTACATTTATTTATATTTTCTCATCCAATCACCTTTATATAATATATCCCATCTACCATATTTTTTTCCTTCCTTAAATTATCCAACATATATTAATGGATCCCTAATTATATATAAAGATCTCAGTATACTTTTCACTTTTATAAATTTCAATTCCATTTTCATCATAATTTATGCAACCACTATATATTTTAGATTTTTTTAGATTACCACAATGAAACATTTTTATAAATAGACCATCTACCTGTTTTAACTCCTTAATGATTATATTTTCCATTCAAAGAAAAACGTGAATAATTATAAAATTTATCCTACAACTCAACCCAATTTCCAATTTTTATTGAACCTCCTTCTTAATCCATATAAAATCCACCACCACTAACGTTCAATCAAGATTTACATTAATTTAAATTGTTTCCTTCCGTATGCTTCTTTAAAAATAATATCCCATTAACCAACTTTATAACCTCTCAGATTATATTCACCACTCATCATAACTTCTCTTTTCCATCCAAAATTCTTCCATTCTTCAATCCAAAAACCAATTTTTTTTAATTGTGCATTTTAATAATGATATGATCCTCCTCCTCTATGATAAATAATAAATTTTACATTAATTTGTATTCTTAATCATATTTTCCTTTCTATAATGTATCCCATCTACCATATTTTATTCCATCCTTAAATTCTCCAACATATATTAATGGATCACTTATTATATATAAAAATATCAGTATACTTTTCACTTTTATAAATTTAAATTCCATTTTAATCATAATTAATGCAACCACTATATTTTTAGATTTATTTATATTACCATAACGAATCTTTTTTATAAATATCCCATCTTCCAATTTTAACCCCATTTTTGTTATATAAACCATGATAAGTGATTTAAGATACAGAAGTATAATTATCAGACAATTCTATCCATTTTCCTACCTTTATTGAACTTTATCCTTCTTATTCTTCATACAATCCACCTCCACTAAAATATAAATAACCTATACATTTATTTATATATATTTATTCCATAATCATCTTAGAACAATATATTCCAGATACCTACTTTATTTCCATTCATATTATAATTGCCATTATACATGATTTGCCTCCTCCTTTCAAAATTTTTCTATTCTTCCGTCCACTTTCCAATCTTCTTTGAACCTCTGTTGTATTCGAAATAAAATCCGCCACCACTAAAATATTGTAAAAAATTTACATTTTGTTATTTTTTTCCCAATTTTAATATATATTCCACTAACCTTTTTTATGCCCATTGTCATTATACACTCCCTGATAAGTTATTCTAGATAAATCATGAAATTCCTCACTCACTTCACACCACTTTCCAATCTTTTATGAATCACCATTTTTTAAATAGAATGATCCACCTCCACTAAAATAAATTATGCTTTTACATTTATTTATATTTTCTCATCCAATCACCTTTATATAATATATCCCATCTACCATATTTTTTTCCTTCCTTAAATTATCCAACATATATTAATGGATCCCTAATTATATATAAAGATCTCAGTATACTTTTCACTTTTATAAATTTCAATTCCATTTTCATCATAATTTATGCAACCACTATATATTTTAGATTTTTTTAGATTACCACAATGAAACATTTTTATAAATAGACCATCTACCTGTTTTAACTCCTTAATGATTATATTTTCCATTCAAAGAAAAACGTGAATAATTATAAAATTTATCCTACAACTCAACCCAATTTCCAATTTTTATTGAACCTCCTTCTTAATCCATATAAAATCCACCACCACTAACGTTCAATCAAGATTTACATTAATTTAAATTGTTTCCTTCCGTATGCTTCTTTAAAAATAATATCCCATTAACCAACTTTATAACCTCTCAGATTATATTCACCACTCATCATAACTTCTCTTTTCCATCCAAAATTCTTCCATTCTTCAATCCAAAAACCAATTTTTTTTAATTGTGCATTTTAATAATGATATGATCCTCCTCCTCTATGATAAATAATAAATTTTACATTAATTTGTATTCTTAATCATATTTTCCTTTCTATAATGTATCCCATCTACCATATTTTATTCCATCCTTAAATTCTCCAACATATATTAATGGATCACTTATTATATATAAAAATATCAGTATACTTTTCACTTTTATAAATTTAAATTCCATTTTAATCATAATTAATGCAACCACTATATTTTTAGATTTATTTATATTACCATAACGAATCTTTTTTATAAATATCCCATCTTCCAATTTTAACCCCATTTTTGTTATATAAACCATGATAAGTGATTTAAGATACAGAAGTATAATTATCAGACAATTCTATCCATTTTCCTACCTTTATTGAACTTTATCCTTCTTATTCTTCATACAATCCACCTCCACTAAAATATAAATAACCTATACATTTATTTATATATATTTATTCCATAATCATCTTAGAACAATATATTCCATCTATCAACTTTATTTCCATTCATATTATAATTACCATCATAAACGACTTATCTTCTCCATTCAAAATATTCCCATTCTTCAACCCATTTCCCAATCTTCTTTGAATTTCCATTATTTTCAAAATAGAATCCTCCACCTCTAAAAAAATTAATCAAATTAATTAATACATTAATTTATATTCTTAGCATTTAAATGCTGCATTAAACATAATGTTCCATTAACCTACTTTATCACCATGAAAATTGTATTCACCCTCATACATCACTTAACTTCCATTGTTAAATCCATCACGCAATTCAATCCACCTACCAATTTTTTATCCGAGAATATTATATTTTCCACAATTACTAAATAATTTATAAAATAAGTACTGCGTATTATTTCTGTAAGAATATTTCCAATTTCCTATTCTTAGATCATTAGAGTATTCACCAATATCAAAAACTGGAGATTTACTATTTTCATTTTTAATTAATGTTTACATTTAATAGTTCTTGTTAGGCTCTTTCCATAAACCTTCCTTTAACTCATCTTAATAGTACCCACCAAAATCATCAATCAAATATTCTCCATTCCACAAAGCCATCCATTTACCTATTTTTTTTTAATTCTTCCCATATTTTCCAACCCATTGAATTTATTTGATTTAATTTATATTATTTAATGTGTATGGGTTCTATAAAGAATCTTGATTTCCAGTATTTTTCATTGAGAAACTAAAAGGATTTTAAATTTATTTATTCATTTAAATTATATTATTATATTATAATAACTTTAAGAATATATCAAATTTAAATCAGAAAAAGATTGAATTTTCAATTTTTGTCAAATTCATGCATTGATTATAATCTTCTAAAGGTTTAGGCTTTGTAAGCTTAAAGTCTCAACAATCACTCAAAATTTCTAATCATATTTTTGTGTAAACAAAATAAAAAAATTTTCCCAAATTTTATTGGTAGGTGGGGCCGAAAATGAATGATAATCGGTTTCTATAATTGACTTCCAAAATTTCAATTTTAAGAATATTTTTATTTGTTAAATTTATAATTATACTTTGATATATAGAAATTAGAAGAAATGTTTCTCGGCTTAGAAGTTCAGTAAGGGAGCAGTGGATTCTTGTTGAAATTAAAAGCTAACAAACTATCTAATAGGATATTGAAATTAAATGTATATCTATCTAATTAGGTGATGTTTCTTATAAAATATTAGTTGAGTTTAAAAGTAGTGTGTCTAACGCTGTTTTAAAGGTTAATATCCTTTGCAAAAATATTGTAAATTATGAAAATAACACATTATTCTCATAAGAAGCAAAATTAGAATTAAAACCAGCATTTAAGATTTCTGATGAACAAAATCATATATTTTAACAACTGCGTTCTTGAGTAGAATTTTATAATACTTTATCTTTACTTTTTGTAGAATTGCCATTCTAACGGAAATTAGAAATTTTATGGAATATCCTTGATTTGTTTCAATAATTATCATATTTGTAATTTTATAATATCCAATTCCCATAAATTTTGTTAATCTATCTTGAAATATTTAATATAGGTTCATTAACTCCGATCATAAATAAATGTAAATAGATTAATTTATCGATTATTATTTTGATTTTCAATATCCACAAATTTAGACTAAATGGAAATTTCAACCAATTTTAATACAGAGAACACTTTAAATACAATTACCACATATACATCTTTAGGTATATTGATCTTTAATTTTTTCTTTTCATTTTTAATATTTTTCTATTTTCACAAAAGTTTAAAGTTGAAAATGGCTTATAATTAATAGTGGAAAGAATTAATTATCAAGTAAATCTATAATATAAATAATATTTATAGTTTCTTAAAAAGACCTTATTCATGATCAATTTAATTTTATATTAAAGTCTTGTGGTATAATTACAATTTGTTTATCAGGAGTATTCTCTTTTTATATTTACTTTTATAAATCTTTTGAAAATAAATTTGAGATTATCAAGTATTAATAATCGAAATATTAATTATGATAAATCCTATTTTTTTCGTGTATATGAAATTGTCAAATTTGTTCCTCGATAAGTGCATAGCGGTAATTTTAGGATGGCTAGTGCACAGTTATATTTAATAAGATGCTAATAATAAACTTAATACAATATAAGCTTTTCACATTGATCCTTATATCAGCTTTATTCATTAGTGTTTACATAATTCAAAAAAAATTAGAGAAGTTGAAAATTTCTAAAGTAAAAGCCTGCCTAGGAATCCCAGAGGAGAGAATAGTAAAATCCAACATTTATATTTGGGATTTTTGATTGTTTTCATGATTATTTTAACTTGTTATTTCATAGATATGTTTATAGTTAAGATACTTTAAATTAAATTAATTTTATTTTAACTATTAAGTTTCTTTTTAACAAATAATGGTTCCTGATTTGATTAAAATCTTATCTGGTCATCTCAATATTTAGCTTGCAGCTTTGGGATATAATAAATCGAAAGAATATACTTATTTTTGTAAAAGTATTTATATAAATAATATTAAATACAATGTTTTTCTGGTTCTAATTTTAAATAAATCTTACCATAACTCACTTTCTTTGCAGAATATTTTTGCTAGTATACTCAAAAAATTTTGAGCAATCCATTTTAGTTTCCCATAAATTTTTCAAGTAAATCAATCTCAACTACTTCTAAACAAGAAAAATTTTTATTTGTATGATATAATACTAGTAATTATATAAAGTTTAATTAAAATAACTACTGATTAATAATTTAATGTTAATTAAATAAAAATGATCATTCTATATTCATTTTAATTTAAGCTTCTAAAATTTATATCCACTCTCACTTAAACAAGTGTCTTAAAGTTTAAAAGTTTTTCAAATGATGGGCTGCTATAAAACGAAAAATAAAAAAGATACATTGGTGGCCCTATTTAAATATAAATAATAAAAAACTATAATTAAAATAAAATGTAAAGCCAATTACCTGAATATTAAAAATAATGTAAATCTTTGTTACCTACATAGTTGATACAATAAACTAAAATTTGGAAGAAAAATTTTAAGAATATGAAACTTTTAAATAGCTAGATTATAAATTTTAAAAAACTTATTTTCAGACTTATCAGACCAAATAGGGAGAACTTATGTATATTCATAAAGGTGAAATTCTTTAAAAGTATTATTTTATATTATTAAGATTTTAAATTTATGAATTCCTTCCAAAATTAGAAATAATAACTAATTTAGAACAAATCAAGTATCTGAGATGGATAGGGGAATTGGGAAAAGACAACAGAAAAATCGGGTTATGGAAAGCAACTTGGAAAGGTGAAAGTATTGTTGATTGTGGTGGTTGGTACTCATAAGAAGGCTAAAAATAAGGAAAATGGAAAGAAATGATCAAAAATTATAATGAGTTTGAATATTTAATTACAATATTAGCCACGCAAAAGTATTTGAAATTGGAGAATATGTAAATGATTTGAGGAAGGGAATTTGGAAGTATAATTTTTAAGAGAACGAAATGTAATTTAAATAATTATAATTTTTTAGAGGAGGAGGAGAATATAATGAGAAAGGATTTAAATAAGGAAAATGGATTGAATTAAGTGAAAGATTTCGGAAGAATTCATAAGTCACTTACATTGGAGAATATAATAGGAATGGTTAGAAGGTAGGTAAATGGGATATTATGTTTTGTCCATCAAATTAGTATGAATAGATGTAATTATATAATATTAGATATTAGCGGTGGTGGATAATACGATGAGTTATAAGAAGGCTGTTCAATTAAAGTTGGTAAATGGATTGAATTGTGGGATGGATTTTAGAAAGATTCATAAGTGACTTAGAATGGTGAATATAACACTAATGGTATGAAAATAGGTAGGTGGAACATAATGTATAATAATTAGGATAAGGAATAGATGTAAATTTATATAAGATAATAAGTGGGGGAGGATTATATCATGAGTAATAAGATTGTTCAGTTAAAACTGGGAGATGGTTAGAATTGTCGGAAGGATTTTAGAGAGATTCATAAGTCACTTATTATGGTGAATATAATAAAAATGGTATGAAAGTAGGTAGATGGGACATAATGTATAAGAAAAAAGATATTTATGGGAATGAGGATCCAAATTATTAATTAATGTAAAATTAAAAAAAATAAAAATTTTTAGTGGTTGTGGATCATATCAAGACTAATAAGATGGTTCTACAATTAAAATTGGGAAATGGATAGAATTATGGGATAATTTTAGATATCCCAGTTAAATTACTTTTAATGGTGAATATAACATTAATGGTATAAAAATAGGGAAATGGGACATTATGTATTGTAAGTGGAATGAAAAAGAATATTAATAAATGTAATTCTTATCAGTATAGATTTCATAGAGGTGGAGGAGAATATGATGAGCTAGAAGGTGATTCAATTAAAATTGGGAAATGGGTAGAGGTGTAGGAAGACTTTTTTAGCGGAGGTGAAATCACTTCTATTGGTGAATATAATAAGCGAGGTATCAAAGTAGGCAGATGGGATATATGGTTTAAAAAGAATTATGGAGATGCATAAAATGAGAAAATGTAATCATTTTAAAAAAGAGATATAGTGGTGGTGGATAATATTGTGAGTAAGCAGGAGGTTTTTCAATCAAAATTGGGAAATGGATAGAGTAGTTGGATGAATTTTATGATGCGTCTTAGATCGTTTATATTGGTGAATACAACACTAAAGGAATCAAGATAAGCAGATGGGATATAATGTTTAGATAATATGGAGATTTTGAATTTAAATAGATGTAAATATTATAAGATTATTATTATAGCGGAGGCGGATCATATTTTGAATAAGAAGGAGGTGCTTCTTTTAAGATTGGTAAATGGGTCGAATTTTGTGAGTAATACAAAGGGTCTGCTTAAGTCACTTATAATGGTGAGTTTAATATGAAGGGTCAGAAGATAGGGAAATGGGATATTATGTTTGATAGATGGGGAAATGGAGATTTTAAATAAATGTAAATATTCTATGATATGATATATTAGTGGTGGAGGATAATATGAAGAATAAGAAGGAGGATCTTCAATTAAGATTGGAAGATGGGTAGAATTGTATGAAGGGTTTTGTGATAGCATATAAATAACTTATACTGGTGAATATAATGAAAAAGGCATAAAAAATGGTACATGGGTGGAAACAGATCTTGGAGAATAAGAATGCTGGTGAGATGAAGTATCATTATTGAATAATAAAAAAAATTAGATTAAATAAAAATTATTAAATTTATATGTGAAGATTTTTATGTTTAATCATCTTTATTTTTGTTGTAAATTTTATTTATTTTTCTAAATTGTTGATTAATTTTTTGTATTTTAAATTTATAATGATTTAACGTCTCAGTTTAATAATTATTTGTATAAAACGGTAATTTAAAATTTATTTTGTTTAATTTATTTATATTGCTATCGAATTTTTAACTTATCAATTTTTGATTTTTTAATTAAAATTTGATTTTTATTTCGATCTATTTTTGTTTCGAAATATCTATTTTTATATGTTATTTTTGGATAAATTTGTATTGGCAAATATAAAACCAATATAATTATATTTCCATTCGACCAAATTCATACCTATATTCAGAAGAACCGAAAGATATTTTCAAAACAACTTTGTTTTTCTTTTTTTTAAAAAAATATGCAAATATTTTAAGCAAATATATTATAATTAATTTTTAATATTCTTCTTTCGAAGTATGATTTTTATTCACAATACCTCAATATCATAGTTTTTATATCTACTTTATGTTAAAAACTTAATCCTTTTAATCTCAACAAATTACAAATCTTAAGGTATAAAATATGGTTTGACAAACATACAATTTTAAGTAGGCAATATAAGCCTATATAATTTAACAAATCAATTTTTTGTATTATATTACTCATTTAGCTTAAGTTTAATAAATGATTTATATCTTGAGTTCAAATTTTTGTAATTATTTTAAAAAATTTGAATTATAAAAATCTTATAAATAATTAGAAATTAAAATGGCAAATAAAATAAAGAATTTTCAGGAATTAATTAATTGAATTTATAGTTCATTTACACATTTAAATAGATAACTCAAATTATCTTATGGTGATTCAGTTGAAGGAAACTGGAAATTAGGTATCATAAATAAGTAAACAATGTTTATTAGTTAATTACATGACTTTCAATAAAAATATTTTAGAAGAATTTGAAGCATGATTTAGTAAAAGATTTTTTCTGTATAATAAGGATCTAGATTAAGGATTTTAAAGACTAAATTAGAATTTATAATAAAATTCTTTACATTACATTTTAAATAAAATAAATATTAATATTTATATTTAATGAAAATTTCAAGATAGCAATTTTAAAATAATTGGATCTTCTTTATCTTTTTCTTGTTTTGTAATGAAATGATACTAAAGATAACAATTGATTAATTTATTTTTGAGTATTTGTTGATTATTTAATGTTTTGAATAGTAGAAAGAGAGCTGGTACAACATTTGTGATAGTAAAAATAGGAAATGAAATGTAATTAAGAGTATCAGGAATTATTATATTCTCCATTTAAATTTAATAGTATCATAATATAATTTCCATTATTTTTGCGAAAATGAACTAATATAATAGAATGCATTTTAAATAAATCAGGTTCATTAAATTTTTTGAGTTAATATTAGCTTGAATATTTGTATTTTTAATAGTAGTCATGAGATTCAAAAATATGTAAAATTAATAAAATAGTCAAATTTATCAGAAAGAGATTTAGAATAAGTGAATCAAAAAAAAACTAAGAATCTGTTAAATTTGATAATAAATCTACATCTTATATAAAAGATATATAAATAATATAAGTGGGGGTAAAGAAATGAAAACTTTTTAAAATATTGATAATAATAATCAAATAATAATATAAAGACTTAATTGCTCTTTCTCGAATCTCAAATTATTTTGATAAAAATTGAAAAAACAATTTATTAGGGCTTAGCAAAATCTACCTTCAAGAATTTCTTTTTATTTAGAAATTGAGAAAATTTAGAATTTAAGAATAAAATACGTGGAGAAATTTAATTATCATTATTCGAGATTATTTTTAAGATAAAATATTAATATATATAAACTTAAATGTAGTTAGATAAATTTTAAGTCGATTATCAAGAATATCATCTAGCCGATGACAGTATATATACCTTGGCTATTAATCAAAACTTATAATTGCTTGCTTTTGGTGGGAAAACAGAAAAGATTATTGTTTTAGATCTATCTAATGATTAAATCTATTAAACCTTGGAAAAAACCCATAATTTACCAGTGCTTTGTTTGATTTTTTGTTAGAATAATAGGCTTTTCTAGTTTGGATTCGATCATTTTTTCGTCATCTATTCTTATTCGAATAAGAAGTTTGTGGAACCAGAAATAATACAAACTCCAAATGTCATGCATAGATTTGCCATTTTAACAAATAATGATAATTAAATTATTTCAGTTGGTGATAACAATGTGATAAGCATTTATAATATTTCTAATAAATAAGTATAATCACTAATTCTTCCGATACATTATAAAATAACATGCATTACAACAAATTATCAATAAAAAATAGCTATTGCTTCAGGAATGTAATCACTTTGTTTTATAAACATATAATAATAAAGAATTATTTTTAGTGAAAATATTTATTCTTCGTTTTATGTAAAAATGTCAAATAATAATTAATTTTTTGCTTAAGGTCATGGAAAAAATATAAATATTAAATCGACAATAAACAAAAAATTGATTAGAAAATAGATTGGAAATTATAATTTTTGCCCTTTGATTATGAAATTTACTAAAAGTGATTAATTTCTCATAGCAGGGAATTTGAATTTTTCAATTTCAATATTTAATGTTTGTTTAGGTGATTGCGATTATTATGAAAATCATGAATCTTATATCTTTAGTATAGAATTTTAAGATCAATAAGAGAATGTGTTTTATACTGGGTGTAAAGATTATAGAATTGGAAAATGGGTTAAAAAGTCTTTTTGATAAATCTGTAACAATATTTTAAAGCAAAGAATTTAATTTTACTATTAAATAATTTTCTTCAATATTTAAACTTAAGTATATTTCTAAAGATATTCTTATGTTTTTTAATTTATATTCTAAATCCTTCTATTTCAAAATTTAAAATAGAATTCTCTGATCAAAAAATTTTTCCTCTAATCGTCTCCTCTGAATCAATAGAAGATATATTAGATTTAAAAGTTGAAATAAAATATTTATAATTTATCTCCTGTATCAATAAGTCATGTTATTGATGTATTCCAAGATAATATAAGTATTTAAAAATTGTCTTTATTAATTGAAATCACGAATATAATACATAAAAACCAAAATAAATAGTTAAAAAGGATTTCTGAAAATTAATAATATTTCAATTTTTATTTTATAATAATAAGCAGTTATTTTATTTTAGCTTCTTTTTTATAATAAAATTGATATTATATTTCATATTGGATTTGCAAAACGATGAAAAAGTATTCTCTAAAATTAAATTGGTATGAATTTTCAAAAATAATTTATAAAGTTCAGAATTTCCTATCTTTAATATTTATATCATCGATTATAAAAGTTGATAAAATTTTATTTTATTATAAACATTCTTAATTTCAAATTAATAAAAAGTGCTTAATTTTCAATTCCGTCAGGGAATATTCTATTATCATAAAAATTTTAAATGAAATTCTTGGCGAGAGGAGAAGAATAGCTTACAATAAATTTACTATCTAAGAAAAATAATACAGATATTTAAGTTGATTCTTTTAGTTTTTATAGTGTTTCAAGGGAATTAATAAAATAAAATATAAAATTTATTAAAAATTAAATTTTTTTGTAAATGTGTCAAATTCAATAGCATTGTTAATTTTTGTCTAAATAGTTATATCTTGAAAATAATAAGAAATAATAGAAAAAGTAAGACAAATCGGCTGCTCCATCTATAATATCTGCAAGTAACAATTAAAAATACTTGAATTTAAATCTTCTTTTTAGTTTGTCTTACTGAAAAGAAGAAGGATTCACATTGAATCGTCATGGAATTATCTGAATCATCTGTAAACTTTCAAATAATAAATGATTATGATAGCATATTAAACTTTCAGAAAAAAAATTGCTCAGTTAGGTATAATTTATCAATTTAAAAATATTCCTCAATGTATGATTTTAAGTATCTTTAAATAAGTGCAAAAATATATGACAGACGAATTAGGATATGGATAGCAGGATTTTTAAAAGTAGAATTATATTGTTAAGTTATTAGCAAGAGTTTAATAATCAGCATAAATTTGTTAAAGAAGGAAAAGTAAATTTAATATCATTTCATTTTGTTATACTCTAACAACAACAATTATCACAAGGATTAGCAATAATTAAGCAGTTTTTTCTAGATATTTACTCTCTGATAATTTCGTTAAATCAATTGATGCCAACTCTTAACAATAATCTCATTTCCTTTTGATGATTCGAATTGCATGTATCTTTATCTTTTACAAAGATTTAATTTAAATTTATAAAAAGTTTCAGTTAATAACATTATAATTAAATGTATATAATTAAAATGATAAATTTGAATATTTCAAATCATATTTTTATCAGTGTATCTTAAAGCATTTTGGATCTCGACGCACTTATTGAGTTTAATCGTATTTACAATCTCTAATTTTTTCTTTGCAACAATTTTTAGAATCGTTCCAGTCTCTTAAACTAAACTTAATTATATGATTGTCATATTCCTTAATTATTTAGATAACACACTTAATCATAAACAAATTGACATTTACATGTTGATAAAGTAAAGCAATCAAAATTTTTAATTTAATCCGACATAATATCATTTGATTATATTAAATATATAAAATTAAACTTATTAGAGTATTAAATAAAATAAAATTTTATTTTTAATATAAATAATTATATTTTTTAAATTAATTGCCAAACTCATCAACTTTCAAATAGATTGGTGATAATTTATTAAAATAATCCATATGGAAACACTTATTTTATCTCATTAAACTTTAATCTAAATCAATTATTTTAATAGAAATTTAAATTCGAAAATAAATAAAATGTATGCTTATTTTAGATTTTATATTTCCATCATTAAATCGCAATAACATTTTTAACTTTTTTATGACATCATAAGGCTTTTTCATTTCTGCAAAGTTTTTTAAAAATTTCAGATCATTTTATTAAAATTTATATTTTGAGTATCCACTAAATAAATCAGTTATTCTTTATTAAGATAGTTAATAGAGAAATCTTTAATCTAATTTTGTCGAGTCTAAAGTTTAAGATTGGCGCTAAAAGGAGAAATTTATTACTTTGAAAGTATACTATATTAACAAGAAGCCTGATAATGCCTATTAATAATCTTTTTTCTAAATAACTTTATTCAAAATCATTTAAAATAGAATGTTAATAATATTAAATTATGTCTTTAAGATTCATTAACTTAATATTTTATCCGTTTTAATATATATCGATAAAAGTATAATTTTTGATAGACCAATGCAATTAAATTTTTTAAATAAAAATAAATTAATTAAATATTATTTACTTTCTAAGGAATCTCTCAGTTCTGTATTTAAAAAGTTTCTTTTTGATGATTTAAAATTTTTAAGAATTTAAAAATAAAAATATTCAATTAATAAATTATCATCAATACTAAGAAAAATTTTGTAAGAATATTCTTTAATAAATTCCTTTAAATTAACTTTATCAAATTACTTTTTGCTAAGAATCTGATAAACAATGTTTAAAGTTTTAACAAACTTCCATTAAATAATTCTATATAGCTGTTTCTTGTATTATGATCTTATATTAGAGTATTCAAAGGCATTAAACTTAGAAAGTTTGTTTATAACATCTTTTAATTGATCCTGAATAGTTTATATCTGATAAATGAATATGAGATAAAATTGTAAAAAATACATTTGTTCGAATATATTACCAATATATTTAAGTCGTTATATTTATTTATTATCTTGAGAAGTTGTTTATTAAAAATTTATAATTTTTGATAATATCATTTTCTATAAATAAATATTTATTTTTAAAAAATGACTCAATAATTGTTTTGCTAGTTTGAAGGCCATGAAGAAGATAAAATTGTGGGGTTTTGTGTAAATCAAGGATGTAGATAAATTCCTCAATTTTGTCTAAAATGTATACAGGATCGACATGCAGAACATGTTCAGGAATGCAAAGACTTTAGATAATATTAAGAACTATTAGCAAACAAATTAAATGAATACAAAAAAGAATTACATCAAATAAATGAAATGTTTAATTAAGTTTAACTCCAATATCAATCTCTTAACAAAATTCTGGGAAGAGAGATCGCAAAATTATAAGAGTTAATAATTTACTTCAATAATAAATAATATTATGATATCAAAAAAATTTTAAGTTCCGAAACAGTCTCAAGTTTAAATCTCACTCAAAATGATAATTGTATTTAAAAAAAATATTTTTAGCACATATTTTAGATTTTGCTTCAATATTAGAGAACACTTTGTAATTAAATAGGCATCCTAATTTCGATTAATCAATTATACAATAGCCCTTATCATAAATTTATAATGAAGTAAAAGCCTAATAAGATTTTATGAGAGGTTATAATAATTTAATATTTTTAGGGTAGGATTTATTTAATTAATAAAACTATTTCGAAGCCTTAGACTGTTTTAATGAATCTCTATTTAATAATGATAGGCTTGATGATTGTTATAGATGGAAGGGTAAAAATTACGATATTTTATCAGCTCGAACATTAAATAAATTGAGTCAATTTCAATTAGCAATATAAGTATGTGATAAGGCAATCTATCTAAACGAATAAAATGATTATACTTGGATTACAAAGGGTAAGGATATTTAACAAAATAGCTTGCTCATTACATTGTTTAGGAAAATATGAGGAAGCTCTTATTTGTTGTGAAAAAGCAATTCAAATAAATCCTATGAATGAAACAGCTTATATAAATAAAGGTTTTTAGAAATGATATATATTGTTAGGTCTTGCATTAGGAAACTTAGGAAGAAATCAAGAGGAATTGGGATGTTATGATAAAGTGATAGAAATAAATAAAAATAATGAAGCATCTTACATTAATAAATGTTAATCAATTTTTAATTCATAGGTTGGACCCTAAATCACTTAGGAAAATTTTAAGAAGCAATTTAATGTTGCGAAAAACTTATTGCGGTCAATCCAATGCTTGATTAAGGTTTTTATATTAAAGGTTAAAATTAATAATTAAAAATTAGGAATTGCTTTATAAGGAATGTAACGGTATTAGGAAGCTAGTATACAATTTGGTTTAGCCTATGATATTTCAAATAATGTTGATCATTTAGTGGCAAAAGGTAAAAATTTAATATTTAATTTATAGCTGATGCATTATTTAATTCTGGATAAAAGAAATAATCTAAATAATATTACATTTAAGCTTTATAGAATGGATATCATAATAAGCAACATATTGAAAATAGACTGAAAAAGATATGAATGAATTTCTATTTCCAAATATTAAACAAATAATATAAATTTGATGTTAAAATTTATAATAAATCTTTGCTAAATATTTAGAATATAATATTAATTATGATAAATCATCTTCTTTTTCTTAATCTTCCTATTTTCCTCATCCTTTTAAAATAGACATTTGACTTTACAAACTTCTAAATAATAATCACAAAAGAATTCATTAACAATTGCTTTAGCTTAAAGATTGTGTTAGATATGGTATTTATAGCACATTGAAGGCAAACTCCTAAATATCTACATTCCATATCCTCATCTTTTTAATTCCTCTTTATGATATATCCTTCAACATCTAAACAATCATATCTAATTAAAAATCATAACAATCATATCTAATTAAAAATCATCTTATAGAATTAGTTCCAAATTTAAATCTATTACAAAAATTCAATTGATAATTATTGTATATGATTAAGAAATCTTCTAATCTATCCATTTTTTATAAAATTTATTTTTGTAGCATCTACATCAAAGAAAACAGCACTCAGAACATATCTGCCCTCTTAAGATAATGTAAAAAGAGAATCAGTATTGCTTAACTAATATGTAATGAAATGATTTCTCTCATAATTATTTATTTAANATTTAACAAAATAGCTTGCTCATTACATTGTTTAGGAAAATATGAGGAAGCTCTTATTTGTTGTGAAAAAGCAATTCAAATAAATCCTATGAATGAAACAGCTTATATAAATAAAGGTTTTTAGAAATGATATATATTGTTAGGTCTTGCATTAGGAAACTTAGGAAGAAATCAAGAGGAATTGGGATGTTATGATAAAGTGATAGAAATAAATAAAAATAATGAAGCATCTTACATTAATAAATGTTAATCAATTTTTAATTCATAGGTTGGACCCTAAATCACTTAGGAAAATTTTAAGAAGCAATTTAATGTTGCGAAAAACTTATTGCGGTCAATCCAATGCTTGATTAAGGTTTTTATATTAAAGGTTAAAATTAATAATTAAAAATTAGGAATTGCTTTATAAGGAATGTAACGGTATTAGGAAGCTAGTATACAATTTGGTTTAGCCTATGATATTTCAAATAATGTTGATCATTTAGTGGCAAAAGGTAAAAATTTAATATTTAATTTATAGCTGATGCATTATTTAATTCTGGATAAAAGAAATAATCTAAATAATATTACATTTAAGCTTTATAGAATGGATATCATAATAAGCAACATATTGAAAATAGACTGAAAAAGATATGAATGAATTTCTATTTCCAAATATTAAACAAATAATATAAATTTGATGTTAAAATTTATAATAAATCTTTGCTAAATATTTAGAATATAATATTAATTATGATAAATCATCTTCTTTTTCTTAATCTTCCTATTTTCCTCATCCTTTTAAAATAGACATTTGACTTTACAAACTTCTAAATAATAATCACAAAAGAATTCATTAACAATTGCTTTAGCTTAAAGATTGTGTTAGATATGGTATTTATAGCACATTGAAGGCAAACTCCTAAATATCTACATTCCATATCCTCATCTTTTTAATTCCTCTTTATGATATATCCTTCAACATCTAAACAATCATATCTAATTAAAAATCATAACAATCATATCTAATTAAAAATCATCTTATAGAATTAGTTCCAAATTTAAATCTATTACAAAAATTCAATTGATAATTATTGTATATGATTAAGAAATCTTCTAATCTATCCATTTTTTATAAAATTTATTTTTGTAGCATCTACATCAAAGAAAACAGCACTCAGAACATATCTGCCCTCTTAAGATAATGTAAAAAGAGAATCAGTATTGCTTAACTAATATGTAATGAAATGATTTCTCTCATAATTATTTATTTAATTAATCATTATTTTCAAGGAAAATAATCAAAACTTTCTATTCATTAAATTCTCTCTTTAATTACCCTACTTCTTTTAAAAATCTCGATTCTTCAAATAAAATTAAACATTTAAAAAAGATATAGAAAATAAATATTTAAGACATAAACATATGTTAAATCGTTTTATAAATTTAAATAAATAAAAACGATCAATAATTTTAAACAGAAGCTTCTGTTTAATTTTTTTCTACATATTATACATTATCTTTGTTATTCTTACTTCTATTTTTATCAAACTTTCCTCTTTTTTGCAATTATGGACTATTTACTTAAAATCTTTACTCAAGAGGAACACTTTATAAATCTTAATTAATTTCTTAATTTGGGTTTTATTATAATTATTATGAATTCACATTTGGTTACAATTATTAATTCTAATAATTATTTTATAAATTTTGATGTTTCTCATATGGTTGTTATGATTTGTTGAAACTTTATTTATTATTATTTGTATATTAGTTCTATTGATATGTATTTTAATAAAATCCATTATTGAATTACCAATATTAAGGTGTTTATTAGAATTAATAACCTAATTTTATACAATATAAAATACCAACAAATGGCTATTAGTAATATTATTGATAAGGTTATTGATAATAATATTATTAACCATATTGAGCCTAATAATAAGAACCTTGTGCTTTTCTATTAGTTTTTTTTCTCTCATATGAGGCAACTGAAAATGAGAATGGAATAGTTTCAAAGACTGCTGATAATTCTTAAAATTTTTTATCGAATCTTGAATTATTGGTTCTCTCCTATCTACTTTCATACTTAATTTATTTAAATTAATGCATTTACTTCTAATTTATCCAATTAAGGAAATTCTTCGAATAAACTTTTATTTGTTTTTTCCATTTAGAAGATTTTTGCCATTTTGATACCATTTTCTACTGTCAATTCAGTACAATCAATAAGATCATACACTGATTTTAAGGTTTCTTCACTACCTTCTAATTTCTATACTTATTTAATATCATCAAATAGTTTAAATGGTAAATCTTTGACATAAAGCTTAGATGAAATAATATTAACAATATACCCATTAAATCTGAAATGTGCCAAACCATTTATTCTCAATTAACCAATATTTAAAATGAGTTTTTGCATTAAATTAAGATGTTAATTTAGCCATTCCACTAAAACACATACTATTTATTTCTGTAAAAAATAAATAAACTTCTTAATTTTTATTCTTGAAAGCCTCATCTAATCTTTCATTTTTACGAGAAGAGCTTTCCTTAATTAAAATTTTACCTAGTCCAAATTCCATATTTCATTGCCCTATGAACATTATCTTCTCCTTAAGTTCTTATGATAAAGAATCTACACTCTTATAAATTATCAAATTTATGATCAATATTGATATTTGCTAAAGGAGGGAACTTCTTTCTAATTTCATCTATATTCTCATAGCATTCTAATGAAGCATATTGTGGCTATTACTTAAATTTTCTCACATACCTGATCACTTGTTGTTTGCATAAATAAAAATAAAAAGATTTAAATATATGCTTAAATATATTTAATTGATTATCATTTTTAACAAGACCATTTCAATGTTTATTAGGTAATCCAACATTAACAAATATTACTTTATTACTATACTAATTAATTCTTTTTTTCTAAAATTGAACAAAAATATTTTTGTATTAATAATTGCCAACAATCAAATTTTAAATTACTTGATATACAAAATCCTACCTATTAATCAAAAATATATTTCATTACCTAGATATTTTCAAAACTTATTCTATATTTAAGTTTGATTTCTTCTATCTTTTTTCATCACAAATTATATCTACACTGTCTTTCCAAAAAATTTAAATGAAAAATAATCAAAAATATTAATGTTTGTCAAAAGAATCCTTAACAAAATATCAACAATAAGTCTTGAACTAAGTAATTTAAGAATAAACTAAGTATAATAGCATTTTATAATATAATGAAATATGGATTTAAATCATTAAATCCTATTCACATTCATTATCATTTAATTTATAATATTGATACAAGCAAATTTGCTTAATAAATCAATATAATTGTATTATTTAATCTTGAGAAACTATAAATAATAAAAATAAGTTATGAATATAAATTAATACTTATCCAAAATAGATGATCATCTATTTACTTTATATTTTATTGTTATTTTAGAATGAATTTCATCACATCGATTCAATTTTTAAAATAGTTCAGAAATAATTTTATTTTAGACTGATATTTATTAAAATATATTATAACGACTATATGAAATGAAGAAGTTAACAAAATGAAAATTTTAAACGATTTCTCTTATTAATTTAGAAAGCACCGAAGCGTTCAATGAATTCATTTCTTATTTTAGATATTAATGGATTATAAGAAATTTTAAAAAGAGATCCTAAATATCTTTTGGATGAAGATTTCTAATTTTTTATTGATTTTTGAAAATATATTTTTAAAAGAGTACCAAATATATCATTTTACACATATACAAGATAAATTTACAATCTAAAGAGTTCTGCAGATATGGCATTTTAGGATCTCTGAATTTTAAGATTCTATTATTTAATTTAAATCATCTTAACATAAGACATGACCACAAAGTAATTTTACAGTATTCTCTTCATTTAGAGGACAAAAACAAATGGGACATTACTCCTCCTTATAAGTATATTCAACTTAAGTTTAAAGTATGAATTATGGAGTCTCATTTTCATCTTCAATGAATGCATTTTATCGAATTAATGCAGGAGGAGACAACATTAATTCATCTAATTCCATTTCATCATAATTATAACTAGCTGTGCCCTCCATGCTTTTCTTATTTATTTAAAATGGCTTGAAAATTTTTAATTTTTATTAAACTTCCCATAACTAATTTAGATTTAAAGACCGAAACTCCTTGATAAGAATACATACTTTCTTGCTGATAATATATAATCTTGTCCAGCAAATTAAAAATCTTATTAATATTTTAATTAATTCAACATAGCTTCTCAATTAGGAAATCTATAAATCATTTCTAAGCACACAAATGTTTGGGAAGCTCCTTTTTTTGAATATTAAGATTTACCCAAAATAATTACACAATTTTTAACTAAATAAATCTAAAAAAGTAATACAAACTTTTTTTAAAATTATTTCATTGAATAATTTTTTTTTCAATATTAATTATATTATAGAATAATATTATAATAAAAATTTTATCTTTTTTTAGAAAAATTCATAAATTTAAATGATATTGTTTTAGAAACCTTTTCCTAGATAATTACTTTACTGTTAACTTTTAAAGAAGATAGCCACTACAAGTTTAAAAATTGTATTAAAATAATCAGTTTTGAAATTTTTATCATTAAACTATTAAATATTAATACAAACTACTAACAATTTTTAGATCTTTATTCATTCTAAGAAGATTACATAAATTAAAAAATCAAACACAATAATTATTTGTTGATAGACATTGATAATTAAATATATTTTTCATTATATTTTGATTAATTATCTATAATATTTATTTATCCCTTAAATAAGACTATTATAGTAAATAATATCTTTATTCAATCTGTTAATTATATTTAATTTATAATATATGTAGTTTTGGATGAAATGATTGAGGAAGTGAAAATTAAGATCCAATAATAATATACTAATTAATCTCATTATTTTAAAACTAAATTGTTTAAAATTCAATTCAAATATTTTACATAATTTCTTAAATGTATTATCATGTAAAATATTCTAGTTTAAATTTAATTTCAAATTAGAATGAGGATAGATCATCAGCAATGAATTCTCCATCCTAACCAAGTATAAAAATAGCAGAATAAGCAATTATAAACAAATTATATTCATCATATTAAAAACAGAAAATTATATTGAGAGTACATGGAAATGAAATGGTTGTTTAAATGAATAAATTATTAGTCTAATTTTTTTACAATAATTTTAGTCAAATGATTAGTTTGCTCAAAATTTTAATGCGTTTTGGAAATGCAAGAATCTAAAGAACATTAAGATACAGAAAAATGTTATTAATTTTGTCATAACCAATTATTTGGTAATAAAAGAGAAGTTTAGAATTAAATAATTGATAAATTATAGGTTAGATTGGAAATAGATATATTTATTAAAGAATATAATTGAAATAAATGAGATGAATTAATGTGAATATATGAATGAATTTTTTTGTTTTTTCAATCCAAATAAATAATTTTTTTTATTTATAAACTTTTATAGGTTTACTATAGCATCTCAATTTTTGGCGCTATTAATTTAATAGCAAAATGCGGGTTTATTTATTGATACCCGGAATTCGTTGCAAATAATAATAATTAATTAAGATAAGATGAATAGCTACAAACTAATAAAAACTTAGTAAGAGAATAACACTAATGGTGAGGATGAATCTACAAGACATCTAAATGAGTTACCAGATACAAAAATATCATCAATTAAAGTGCCACCTATTGCCCCTATCAATTTTCTTAGCTTAAGAGAGAGATTTGGGTAGATTTAGGATTAATATCCATTGCCAATTAAATTCTAATAATTATTATAAACAATGAGAAATATTGAGTAAACGTTTTGGAAAAAGAGAAAACCACTTACATATGATATTAAAACTAATGCCATTAAAATTTTATAAATTGGATAATTGTTAAAACTTGATAAAGATTTATATGAGATAAAGATTGTAAATAAATCTATTGAATTAATATTGAATGACATTCCTACAGAAAATTTACCATAATTTTAGCCTTTTCAAAATTAGCTTCCAGTAATTTTTGAAAATAGGATTACCTCAATAAGAAATAAATTAGATAAGTTAGTATAAGAAACACATGAAAATTATTTAAAATTGATTTAATAAGAGAGTTTTTTGGAGCATTCCAAAGAATTCAAAATATACTTTCCAACTTTTGATTAGAATTTTGTTTAGGATATTACACCTATATTATTACCATTTCAAATATATTCAGATGAATAATAAGATTAAATTAAACAAATTGTTGAAATAACAATTAAGTATTTCAATTAAAGATCTGTTTCATTTATATTTTACAATAATTTAGTACAACATTTACTCAATAAAATACCTATGAATAAAGACATAATGGAGAAATTATTGATGTTTTTAATTAAATTGCAGCCAGATTTCTTGTAAATAACTAATGCAAAAAAAGAATAATAGAAAAGTAAATGGATTGTGTAAATAAATAAATTGAGTACAGAATAAAAATAAATTGAATAGTTGAAAACTTATTTCTATTGATTTCCATGTTTTATATTTATTTAAATTTTAATATGATGCACTCTCAATTTTATTAACTTGATTTATATTAAGATGAGGATCACCAAAATATGATGATGGAATGCTATGAAGGAAACACTCCAATTATATTAAAGGATAAAGGTGAGGAGAAATTGAATATTTTAAGAAATATAAAGGAGTTTATTCTTTATTAAGATTATTTGTTTAGATGCTATTTAAAGGAGAATATGCCTTCTAAATAAGACTTTGATTCTTATATTGAAATATATACATTCGATAAAAAATAAAAAATTTTTTAACCATACATGAGAATGGATCTATCAATTAAGAAATGTATAATATTTATAAAGCCTTGTAGATTTTACAATTGGTAATAATGGATTAGTAAATAATTCTAATTTAGAAATTAATGAATTAGAACTTAATGATCCTCAAATAGAATTGATGCATATGGAAGTAAATTATGAAGATTTATTATTACCAATAAAAAGTAAAGATAATTTAATGAATAATATTAATAAAAGATTAGCTGATTATGCATCTGATATATCGATAAAAATTAAAGAATAAATAGTCAATAATTTAATTGGAAATTGTTAAGATAAACTAAAAATTAAAAGTTTAAAAAAATAATCTTAATTGCATCCTTTGATAGATATTAATTCTTCTATTGAATATTAGAAATTAAAATAAAACAATAAATATAAATTAGGAGGTGGAGATTCTAATCCCTATATAATAAAAATCTTAGAAATTAAAAGCAGCTTATTAATTTTATCGATTGATCCAAATATTAAGTATTAAATCAAAGGAATTAATTATGACTTAGAATATCTTTATACTCATTAATAAGATTAAGAGATTTAAATGATATTTTAGTCTCCAACAATAAAAATAAGAAATGAAGCTGATCGCAAAGAATACATTTTGATAGCACATTAAAAAAACGAATTCAGTTTTGGCAGATTAAATACAAATGACATTCAAACTAATTATGAACATATTTCTAGAAACCATTGTTTGATAAGATTTTTATAAGATTAACAATATGAAGGAGGATGGGAAATAATGGATTTATCAAGTGCTTAAGGAACTTGGTTTGTTATGTAGGATGATATTTATTACAAAATAGACAATTAAAGCAGAATAAAATTAGGATCAAATATATTAAAATTTGAGTTAATAAAAAAAGAGGATGCAACAAGTAGGAAATAGAATAATCAACAAGAAGATGATTTTTTAGAAAGTCTTCTTTAATTATGAAGGTAAAATTATATAAATAATATTTTTGAATATAAATATGATAAATAAGAAATCTTCAACAAAATAGGCAACAAGAATGGCCACGCAGGCAAATGATTAATAAGAGATATTGACAGTAAATAAGATAAAAATAAATTTAAGTAAAATCAATAAGCATCTAAATATACTTTAAATTAAATAGTAGGTAATGGCACGTTTGGAATGGTTTATTTGGTAAAAAAGTTGTGTTAATTTAGGCTACAAACAATTAAACAAATGAAAAAGTGGCTATAAAGAAGGTGTTTTAAGATAAACGTTATAAGAATAGAGAACATTTAATAATATAAGAATTGAATAACCCATGTGTAATAAAACTAAAGGAAGCATTTTTTACATAGGGAGATAAAGTAATGGTAAATGCATTTTATAAAGGGCGATGACGTTTATTTGAATTTAGTTATGGATTATATTCCTGACACATTAAGTAAGGTGATCAGATATTATAAGAAGGCGAAATAAGCTTTTCCTGCAGTTTTGTTGAAAATTTATAGTTATCAAATGTTTCGAGCTCTAGCGTACTTGGAAGGTAGAAGAAATATGTAACAAAAGGAATTGGAATCTGCCATCGAGACATAAAACCACAAAATATCTTAGTAGATCCACAAAGTCATGTTTTGAAGATTTGTGATTTTGGTTCAGCAAAAAAACTGCAGAAAGGAGAGCCAAACGTTGCTTATATTTGTTCCAGATATTATAGAGCCCCTGAATTGATATTTGGAGCAACAGAATATACAACAGCAATAGATATGTGGTCTATTGGTTGTGTAATAGCAGAAATGACTATTGGAGAACCTTTGTTTCCAGGAGAGAGTGCCACAGATTAATTAGTGGAGATTATTAAAATCCTTGGAACTCCAACTATTGAATAAGTCAAATAGATGAATCCTATGCATAAAGAATTCAAATTTCCATAAATTAAAAATCATCCTTGGAATAAAGTGATCTTATTTTGTAATTTATATTTAGGTCTTCCAAAAATTCAAACCTGATCCTTTATTTGTAGATTTGTTATCTAAAATTATGTTGTATCCTCCCAGAGAAAGATTAAGACCATTAGAAGCTTTGTCACATCCTTTCTTCTCAGAAATTAGAGACGAACAATTTGGAATTCAAAATGTCAAATTGCCTAATTTCTTTGATTTCACTAAGGGTATTTGAATATCTATTATTACTTAGAGGAATTATCTATATAACCTGAAATTGCATTTAAGTTAACTCCCTAATGGTATTAGCAAAAGAGGATATGAACTAAATTATTTTTAATAAATGAATCCCATTCATATTTATCCACTTTAAACTTCAATTCAATAATTTGATTGTTAATTCTTTGAACTCAAAAAAAATACTTAACATTTGATCTTACATATAATTTCAATCAAAGGATCTACAAATTCCAATTTATTTTTCTTTAATAACAGTGTAGAAGCAATTAGAAATGCTCTTCATCATAAAGAGTTAACATATATGATAAAAAATCGATATTAATCTCATTTCTCTCTATGTTATCACAACCGACTTAAATATAGTTACTAAAGCCGTCTATCTATTTTTCAAAAAAAAGAGTAAGAAGCAACAATAATTATAAATCCCTATTCTTCAAATTCTCAAATAAACAAAATAGATTTCCATTTATTCTTAATATTTTTCATTTAAGAAAAAGTGAATCCATGAACTTCAAACTCAAACTCGAATTTTTGTTAAAAAAGTTTTGATTCAAAATTATTCTCTTCTATTTTATATTGATAAAAATAAAAATAAATACATTTTTTTTTATAATTCTCAGAAAATTCAATCAGCGTAAGAGAATAAATGCAAATTAGTAATTCAAATATCGCTTCATAAATATATTTTAAAAATTATATTTAAGAATAAAACTATATTTCTCAAATTTTTTATGGATTCCTGTCCTAATTGTGTTCTAAATAACATGCACATCTTAAAATGAAAATAAATAAATTAAAACAAATAAAGACTTATTATGTCCAATAATTTTGTGACATAGAATTTAATGTAATATAAGAGTTCTAAATACTATAAAATTTCAATAAAAAAAAAATAAGAATTAGTTATATTAAGAAATTGAAAGTTTTTAAAGCATTTATCAGAAATTCTTAAAGATTTTTTAAATTAGATGAATTAGAAATAGTTATCTTATAGAATTGAAATAGCTTTTATGATAAATACATAGGTTTTAATTTTTTTTAAATTGAAATTCTAGGCCTGTATCTTGTTATTGCTATCATATATTAAATAATATCCTGTATTATCTTTTGTTAGAATTTTTAGGGATTAATTTATGCAATTGAAAAAAAATTTATATTGTTTTTTATTAAAACTTTATCCTATTATTAAATATAATAAAATCTCTATAATATATAAAATAAATATATTATCATTTAATAAATTATAATTGTTTAGAACATCCTAATCAGCAGATCAAATGTAGATATTTAGATCAAAACAAAAGATAAAAATAAAGAAAGAAAGATTTGTTCTGAATGTATTTAAAAAAATGATTTAAATTTGACATGAACTTAAAATTAAAAGATTTTGTTGAAAAATTGCTGCAAAATTCTTAGAATTTAAATATCAAAGATTAATTATAATAAAGTTAATCTAAGGAAATTTTCACGTAAACCCTCCAAATTTTAGATAAACTTTAAGAAGAAATACATTTGATATTTACTAGTATCAAGGAATCCATCTAAGCAATTTAAATTCATGAAAAAAAAATTGATGATAAATTTCTTTAACTTATTAAAGAAAATTTGAACCCAGTGGAGTGCTCTAATTTTGAATTAGATTTTTTGGTAAATTTTCTCAATGGAGATATTTTTGAAAAAGAGATGGAAAAAAGAATTTAGCTTAGTTCATTTATTAAGAATGATTGGTCTGATTAATAATCTATATAAATTTTGTCGTCTAGTTGAAAAACAGGAAAAAACATTGTATAGAAAAAGACAAAAACAAATTGAATTTTAACAAAATCTAAAATTTAGAAAAAGCTGAACATTTATAAATAAATGGTTAATATGGAGTTAAAGGCAATAGAATAAGAAAATGGAAATATTTTTGGAAGGGATAAGAAATTGGATATTGTTAATACAATATTTGTGGATAACAGGATGGTAATTAGATTGAATTATGCGATAATTATTCGGAGTATTAATAATTTATTTTATATTAGCGAAAAAAATGTACTAGAAATCGGTTAGTGTTCAAAAGGAAAGAGATGTGGAAAATGGTCCTTTTATTGTGGTTATAGATAAATGTAAATACAGTAATTATCAAATTAGAGGTGGTGGATCTTATAATGAAGAAGGAATTAAGGCTGGGAGATGGGTAGAATTGGATAGTCAGTTTAAATTGGAGAGATAAATCATTTACTAAGGTGAATATAATATGAAAGGCGTGAAGATTGGTAAATGGGATATTGAGTATTGTAATCCAGGATAAGAAGAATATAAAAAAATGTAATTTGTATAAGTTAAACTTATTAGTGGTAGTGGATTATATGATTAAGAGAATTAAATTAAGAATGGATAATGGATAGAGTTGTGGGGCAATTTCGAAAAATATACATAGGTCATTTCTTATGGAAAATATAGCTAAGAAGGCATAAAGGTAGATAAATGGGATTTTCAGTATCGTCAATATAATGAATAGAAATACAGATAAATGTAAAGTTTGTTTAAGATTAGATTATTGTTTTAGTGGTGATGGATCTTATAATTAAGAGGGAATTAAAATATCGAGTTGGTTATAGTTAGATGATGGGTTTAACTGGCAAAAATAAGTCATTTATAAAGGAGATTACAATGTAAGAGGGATAAAAATTGGTTAATGGGATATTTACTTTTTTAATCCAGGAGAAGAAGTATAGAATAAAATGTAAGTATTGTAAAAGTTTAAGATATCTAGTGGTGGTGGATCTTATGATTAACAGGGAATAAAGAATGGGGTGTGGGTAGAATTGTGGGAAAGATTTTGTTTCTAGGCTTAGATCACTTATAATGGTAGATATAATAAGAAAGGTATTAAGGTAGATAGATGGGATATTTGTTATCGTGCTAAAAATTACAAAAATTATGAACCAATGCAAAATTTATCTTATTATATTTATATGTCAGAGGTGGTGGATTTTATGATTAAGAAGGAATTAAGACTAGAAAATGGGTTGAATTGGATGAACACTTTTTTTGGGAGAAATAAATCATTTATGAAGGTCAATACAATTGGAAAGGGATGAAGATTGGTTAATGGGATTCTAAATATTGTTCTTTTTATGACAAAGAATATAAACCTATGTAAAATTTAGCTAAGATTAGAAAAAAATTTTAGTGGTGGTGGATTGTATAATTAAAAGGGAGTTAAAGCTGGGAAATGGTTAGAGTCGGATAATGGCTTTTATGAATGTGAATAAGTGATAAAATTTGGTTTATATAATGAAGAAGGCTTAAAGATTGGTTAATGGGAGTATATAGATATTGAAGAGAAGAAAAAGATAGGTGAAAATAATTATGATTATTGAATAGAACACAGAAGAGAAATGAATATAATTTTATATTTAAATCAAACATAATCTTTATAATTATTTCTCTATATTGTCTTAGCATCGTTGAGATTGCAGCTCTAAAACTATTAAAAGAAAAAAATTAATAAAAAAATTGAATGCAGAGCCATTCCGCTTAAATATATAAAATATTTGTGAAAACACTGATATTTGGGGTTGAATTTGAGATATTTTGTAATTAATTAAAGTTTTTTTACCCTGATTATTATATTTATTCTTATTATTATATGCAATTAATTGAAGTAAAATTTTGTATAAATTTGAAAAATCCCATGAAAATTAAAGTATAAATATTTAAAGTATTGTGAGTCCCACAATAAATAGAATGGTGATTCAAATTAGTAGAAAATCATGAAATCATGATTCCATCACAAGCCTAATTTGTCTGACGGGAAGAAAATGATTTTGACCAGTAAAGAAAGAATTAACAATTTGTGGCAGAAGATGGCTAAGATAGAGAAGATACTAAAGTTTTTTTGATTCATAAAGAAATTCTTGGATTATCAATAAGTAAGTCTTTTGTAGTTATGTTGTATCCATAGTTGGAGCGATTTTATTGATTTTAGAAATTAACTGTAATAAATTAGTTGGAATTTATTACAAGATGATTTCATAATAAAAATTCTTGTTTATTTTTAGGTGATGAATTGTGTAGGATATCTAAAAAAATGAAAAAGTTGAATAGATTATATGCAGCCATACTATTGGAGTGCTTATTTGAATGTGAAGTAGAAAGAATTGTTGAATAATCCAATAAAAGATGACAGAAGAATATAGTAGTAGATGTCATTTCAATAATAATTGTATATTTCTTATGATTATTTTCATATGTTAAGTTCTGAGAATTTAAGAATTTCTTTAGGTTATTTTAATTGTTTATTAATTAATGAGGAAGAGATAAAAACACAATAATCAGAATTGAATTAAATTCATAATGGGAATACCATTATAGTTACATTGTCTCTAATATAATCACTTGATATTGCTTGATATAACTATTTAGCTAGATTCTTGTTTTGATCAAGTTTCTGAATGATCTATAAAACTTCTTATTCCTAAAGTTCCTAAAATTAATACTATTGATTTACATCCCAGAAACCATCACTCGCCATAACTATGAATTTATCACTTTCTGTAATCTAGTATCTAGAGATTTCAGGTTCGCTGATAATATACTTTTTAAGATGAAAATCTCCAAATGATCTTGTAACAGTTAAGGACCCAGAAACTCGAAAGATGTTTTGTCTCTTTGTGATCAAACTAAAAAGATACAAACAATAGTAATACCCTCCTAATTTGATTATTCTCTAATATTCCTCTTTACATTAGGGAATGTGAATAGAATGTAATTATTCAAATGAATTCTCTCGGAATACAACAGCTTTAGAATCTCCTAGATTTGTTATTGTAACAGTTTTATTTTAAATAGACAATAATATAGCAACCGACCCAGATTCCATGTACTATGTTAAATTATTGTCAATTTCTCTAAACACTACAAAAATACATGATATTGGAATACCTTTTTTATATTCCTCATCTGACATCTCATTTTGTAATCTCTGAAGCAAATTCTGGTGTAAATAATCCACAACATGAGATGATCTATGCCCATCAAAAATTGCATAATGATTATTCAAAATCTAGTACTAAGAATAATAAATTGTTAAATCTTACTCTATCTAGCATTTCTCTTCTAGATCCTCGATTCATGTATAAATGATATTTTTCATTTTATTCTTCCAACTCATCGAATTACTCACATAAATCATTCGCTATCAGCTGGTTTTCCTCATAATTTATTACTATTTCTAAATCCATTATAAAAATAAGTTATTTTTTTTATTGTTTCAAATATTAATAATATACTATAAATAGTTAAATTATTGATATATATATTCATTATTGTTGAATTAACTTTAACTTTTGATCTTTCTGCAGGATCCACCTCTGTACATATTCTCTATTCTAAGCATTCTTTATAATCCAGGTATGCTGTAATAAAGTAGATGCATCTAATCTTTTGTTTTAATCTTTATTCAAACTAAAATCAATATTCAATCCTACCAAATGTTTACAAAATCCTTCATTTCTACACTATATGGGTAACTATCCAATCTAGGGGATTCCGATTTCAAAATATTTTAAATCATTTGTATGTATGTCATTTATTTATTTTATACAGAATATGGATGCTTGCCAGTTGCCATTTCATAAATAATCAATCCCAAAGACCATATATCTGATGCATAAGAATAGTTTTTTCCTTCCGTTCTTTCTGGAGACCTAAAACAATCATGCTAATCTTCTTACATATACATTAGAGTTCCTACAAATGTTCTTGCTATTGCTATTGTGTTTTCTAATTATTTACTAATTCCAAAATCTGTTACTTTTATCTACCCTAAACTATTTATTAGAATATTCTCTGGTTTGATATCTCTGTGAAGTTAATGCTTTTATTAATGCAAATATTGTAATCCCATTAGAATATTATAAGTTATCGTTGCAATTATTTATTCATTCATTAATTCAACTAAATTATTCTTATAGATTTATTATATTATGCTTCGCAATGATCCTTGATCCATATATTCAAGTACCAATCTTATGGTTCCTCAAAAATCAATCAAAGAGCTACCTTCTTCATAATATGCACCATAAAACTTGATCAATTATTCACATTCACAACCATTTAATAATGTACTTAAATCATTTAACATCTAATGTCTCTTATCCTTATCAAAAACATTAATTATCTGATATTAATATTATTAAAATTAAACCTTTAAAGCTACTTAGCAATCATAAGTTAAATACAATCCTCTACAAACATAGCTTGATACTCCTTATCCAATAACATCTCCAACCTTAATTTACTGATGTGTAATAGATTATTAAGTATTTTGTATTTATTCTCCATTTGTTGATGTTAATCCTTCATTATTAATTTTAATTCCTGCTTTTGGAAATCTAACACTATTAGGTCCGCTAATAATAATATTGTATTTAAACATTTCGAAGGTCATTGAACTATTTTATTCAAAATTAACTTCAATATCAAATTCATCTTACATTTTATATAATATTAATTATTTATCATTATTAATACCAAGTAGTTCTGAGAAACAAGAGTTGATTTTAAAGAATTTGATGAATAACATTTCTTCATAGACAACTCAATAATTTATTTTGGTTCATACAAAGACAACTTGAGAATCTATAAACTTCAAAAAGGCGACTACAAATTCACACATCCAAAATACATGAAGTCAATTTGAAAGCTAAAATTCCTTATTGGTTATTTTTATAGCAAACCTCTTTTATGTGTTACTTTGTGTTCGAATTCTACTCCTAAGATATGGATATATTTAAAGAATATAAGTTGCAAATTAAAAGCCTGTAAAATTCAGATTCAAAAATATATTTGAAGGAGATAGGAAAAGTCTCTTGTAGTGAGAAAGTGTTTGGGTATTATTTTTATCAGGATTTAGAAGAAGATGCATTTATAAATATAAATTATTACTAAAATAATAATTCATAATGTTGTATTGTTAATTAATGTTTTTGAGAATGGAATATTCAATAAAATAAGGTCCAATCTAAAATATTTTTTAAATAATAATTGTTAAAAACAAATTCAATTTGTTCACAAATACAAAATATTATATAAACTCATCATTCTTTTTCATAAGGGCTAATGTTTTTCATTGTTAGTCCATGGATTAATTAGTGAATTAAGTTTTTTTATCAGCCTAAAAAATGTTGTATATGAATCTTCTTTTGTATTTTCATATTGTTTTAGCCTTAACAGACATTTAAATATACACTTATTAAGGATTGCCAAAATATTCCAACATATACTTATTAGAATTGTATGTTTAGCTTCAAATTTACCTCTTTTTTCTTGAGCTTCTTGAGCCTTTTCTAATGTTAAATTTATTTTTTATATTCATTAACAATGCAAGCACAATAAACCATGTTAAATCTTTCAATACAATTTGGACTCTTTTATTTTCAATATATGCCACAATTTTTTCTTTTGTTCATTAAAAAGGAAATTTTTTTAAACTATTTTAATTATCTGTATTAGTTTTTATAATTACTCTTAGACTTCTTTTGTAATTAATCCCATATCACCTATGAAAAAGAGCTTCAAAAAATATTAGATTTTAGGATTTAGAACCTATTGCACTGAAATTAGACATTCTTTGTTCATATTTAGCGAATATAGATTAAAAATAGGTTCTTAAATTAAGTAAAATTTTTTTAAGCTTTCTATAAGTTGTTCAATTTTTATTTTTTTCAATTTTGAGAATCTTATCTAAACACCCATAAATAAGAATAACCTAACACAATAATTCATATTATTAATACCGCTTTCATATTTAACTACAACAAAGATACTTAAATTATTATCAAAATTCCATATGTAAATTTCTTGGTTTGTTTCTTTGATCCAAAATTTTTTGATTGTTAAAATATGGGCAGCTAAAATATTTATTGATTCTAATTGAAATTGCAATATGATGAATAAATATACTTTTTCCTGGTTTAATAATAATTTGATAAAAATAATTATTATTTAGAAAATAGAAATAAAAATAAAATTAAAAAAATTAAAATAAATCCTAAAATAAACTTCATTCTTAAAAGAAAAGTACCAATGGAAGCCAAAATTAAAGAAATCTCACTCCTAGAAGGACAATGGTATTTTACATCTTTTGATGAAGCATAAGGTCTTACACACAATATATTTATTTAATATAAGGATAATGTGTTAATACCTCATAAAATTATATTCAATTTAAGGAGATTATAATACATTAAAAGAGAAAGTTGATATAGTGGTAATAAGGCAAAACTTCTCTTTATATTTGTCAAAGATTAATGTATTAGAAGAAAGAGTTGAACAATAAAGGAAACAAAAGAAATATGTCCCCATTAAATAACACATATATATACCTGAAAAATTAAATAAGTATTGAGAATAAGTATAAGAGATTTACAATAATGAAGTTTAAGTACCTCTCAATGCAATGAAGAACAATCATAATTTGCTAAAGAATTAGAAGTACAACAATAGATGTTAGATATTTCTTTAATTTAATCTTCTAATAATAGTTTCCGAATAGAATTATAAGATAAGATAGATTCTTAGAACCAGTAATAAAATCTAGAGATTAAAAAAAATTGAAATCAGATCTCAAATTAGTTAAATCAAAAAAGTTTTTTTTAATTAAATTTAATTAAAAAAATAACAATTAGACTTAATAATCTTTATAGCTATTAGATGATAATAAAATGAATAAGATTATAACCTTAACTAGCTAAATTAATATTATTTCTATTAATTAAAAAAAATTGAATATATTTTTTTAACACAACAATAAGGATTGAAGAATATGAATATAATGACAATTTTAATTGATAGATATCTAAATCATGATTACATAATAGATATATATATTTTAATCAAAGGTCAATTTTTATAAATTCTGATAGTCTCTTGGATTTTAACTCTGCAGAAGGGACAGAGAGCCAAATTTTTACTGCATTTCAAACAAGTGGCATTATGTTTACATGGTAATATTAAACAATCTCTTTCTCTTTCAACACATATAATGCATAAATTCTCTCCTGAGATTTCATTAACCTTCATTTTATTTTATTGACAAATATATTAATTAGTTGTTCCAATTCTTATAATGATCTCTTCATTTGGATCCAAATAAAATAAATTACTCATTTTGCCTTCTCCTGATAATCTCATCCAAGATCTAAATCATAAATAGAAATTCGATTACCCATTTGTTGAACCATGATCTTCAATGGTAACTGTTTAATCAACTAAATAAAATTTAGCATGTTAATTAGACAAATGATGATCTTCAGGGAATGAGATATCAACTGTAGATTTCCTTCCAAGTGCAACAGAAGGTTTGTCTTTATTTAATTAAAATATAATGGTATCTTCTAAATTTGGTCCTTCGACTACGAATAAAGAGATCTAAAAATTTGATATAGTCTTACTTCGATTCCTCCATTATCTAATAAATCCAATTTTTAAACAGAGAATTAGTTACTTCCTAATTCAATGAGCATACCTTATATTAATGTCAAACTTTTAAGTATTTTAATAAATGTTCCTGTTGTGCTTCCAATATCTTTAAGTGCAAACTAGTTTTGATAATAATTTTTATATATACCATGGAATCTTAGAATATAATTTCAGCGTGAAATCTACTAATGTTCTCTTCCAAAATTAGAATTTAATTGCTTGAATGTCTTCCAATTTTGGCACCTGCTTCTCGAACACAATAAAAGTTAGATTATTAACCTTCTATTGGTTGGAGTATGAGTTAATGTTCGAATTTGTTAAATCCTGGTATTTCTTATTTGATTGCTTATTCTTCCTATCTCACAACTGAACTTGTAAATTGATCGTTGCCATTATTTTCATGATTTTCTATAAGCATTTATTCAAATTGAGAATTAGCTATATTCTTTTGTATGGTGAAATCTTCATCTTGTTATTTCTTGTTATTTAGATTTGGCATTTTCATTTATTTTATATATTCATTATATTCTTTTAGTCCATGATTTACCCCTACAATAAAAAAGTGTGATACAATTAAGTAATTTTCTTTTAATAATTCTTTATGTAATCCCTAATTCTTCATCTAGATCTTTTTCAGTCAAATCTTCTAAAACAGCTCCATCAATAGAACATTCAACTATTTTCTTTAAATTTAAATACCAAATTTTTATTCCATTTGTCCTAGACCTATAAACTATAGCCAGCTTATAACATCTTGAGTCAGCCATTTCTTTGGTTCTTTAGGGATCAGTTTATATAATGACTCATAATCCATTTTAATTTATATTTTATAAATAATAACTTATCATTCTTAATTTTATTTAATATTTTTAATAAAGTTTCTTATGAATCTATAGTAAGATAATAAAAAGAATACTAAGATATAATTTAAGAGATATTAATAGCGCTTAAATATGTAGATAAAATTCACTTGAAGAATGCAAGTATGACTGTGATATCATCAATCACTTCATCTTCCTTCTACCAAGCTTCTTTAGCAGCTTATGTTAATTTATTACAAGCTCCAATTGCATCTCCTTTTTTATAATATTCATTAACAGTTTCAATGACCCATTCATTTGATAGAAATCTTGGATATAATTTATAGAGATTACTCCCAAATACCATCAGATGCAACTACTAAGAATTTATCTGATGGTAAAAGTTAATGCTTTATTATTTCAGGTTCACATATAACTCCAACTTAACTTGCCACATAATCTCCAAAACTTCGTGACATTGCTAATCCTGGAACATCTTCATCTGATTTCCATACTCTAGCTGGCCCTATAGGATTCCCATCTTCATCACTATAAGCTTAAACACGTCCTCCTCTTTAAAGTATTCTAGCCTATTCCAAAAAACAATCAGGTTTATGATCCTTTGATAATTCTACTACTTATAATTTAGTATCATATCTCCCAATTATCTATATTTATTAACATTCTTTTTACTGCTCTACTATCTCCTATATTAGCACAATAAAGTATATTTTCAAATGCTATTACTACTACTGTTGTTGCTCCAGAATATGTTACATCTATGCCTGAATTCAATAAATCATCATTTGTCTTTAAAAATGATTACTTAAAGATATTATTTATTGTTCTTAATTAATTCATATAATTTCTTACTTATCTCTATCATAATAATATGGAGCCTCCATTACATCCTATTCTATATATGCTGGCAATATTTCCTATACAAATTATGCTACTTAATGTCCATTTGTCCCATGTCCATCTGATACCTAAAGATACCAATCATTCTCTTTTGTTCCAAACTTTTGAATTAATTTATAAGAATCTTAATTTATTTTTGTCTATCCTGTATAAAGCATTCCAGGAATTGATTTTGCATGTGCTTTTGTTATACATAATTATAGTGTTGAAATATCAGGATTACTAATTGAACGAGGTCCTTTAAATAATTTCTATTTTTATTGCTATTGTTATTATTATTGTTATAACTAATTATGTTCTGTTTACTTTGATAAGTCAAGTAATTTTTAATATTATTTTTAAATTAATTACTAATGATATTGTAAAATCTCTTTTGATGTTTGTATTTAACCTATTTTATTATCTGGCCGTTCTGCCTTGATTTTTTACAATAATTGCAATGCTGATTATGTTAAATTTTATGAATTCTCTTTGGTCTCTATTATTTTACTATTTTAACGGGCATGAGTTTTTTTTAATAGCACTGTGCTTATATCTTTTAGATCTTTTCCACTTGTAGGTCTGGATTTCTTTGCATCCACTCTTAACTATCCTTAATTATTTCTAAATTTACTAATATATCCCATACCTTAATGAATTTATATATACATTCCCTTGAATCGCTGGAGATTTCACTATCTTTTATTATGAATCTGATTCATTTTTTTTTTTTAAAAGACTTGCATACAATTTATTAGGTGAAATTTAGGGGGCTTTTTATTTCATTCTAATTACAAAATTAAATTTATTATTCCCTTATTTAATTATGTATTAAATATATAATAATTCATTTCCTTAAGTTTTTCAGTTATTCTTTAATTTAATTTGTACTATTTAAGTATTTTGATCTCGGAATATGATCTTAAGATATTGTTCTCTCTAATAGTGATTATTACTATTAAGTCAATATCTTACATTGCTCACTGTTTTATACTTCAAGCTTTGTATTACTCAATTTCTGAATATCTAATTATTAAACTAATACATACTCTCATTTTACAATTTCGTCTACAATGTGAATTAATATTTATCTATCAACTTTTAAGTATCATTTTTAAAGATGCCCTTTTAATTTAGTTTATTCAACTCCAAATCTTCATTTTCGAATTTCACCTTCTATTCTTAACCCTTATCCTTCTCCAATGTTATTGATCTCATTCTATCACTTTTTTAATAACTATCCATTCTCTAGTGTAAAAGTGGAGATTATAATCTTTCTCCTAATATATTAGATTGTTTCAGTTCCTATTTGAATAAAACTTCAGATTGTCGTATATCTTTCGTCTTTATGTTTTACATTTCTAAAGACAAATCTTTTGTAGTATTGAATGCTTTTTTAACTAAATTGTATAATTGTTAGAAATCTTCCGATTTTAATTTATTTATATTGTAATTTGCTTTTGATATTTTATCCTCTTACAACATCAACTTTGTGTCAAAATTCTCTTTTAGCTTATCAAACAATGAATGTAAATCATTAACTCTATCTCCTAATTCATCAATTCTTTCAAATTTCTAATTAAATGACCTAATCCTATCCTCTAAATGATTGACCTTCCTTAATAGAGTTGTTTCTAATTACTCCATTCTATCTTCAATAACTTTTAACTTATATTCTTATTGTTCTTTTATTAACATTTTTGACTAACGATTTATTAAATTTTATAATGCAACATTTCTAATATTATTAAAATTTCGATTATTCAATTTTCTTTCATTCGTAACACAATAATAGAATCCTGAATACTCTCTAACACTAAATTATTTCCAATATAGCTTACATCATGTTTATCATAAACAGCAACAAAAATATCTTCTGAAATTCTAACAATTTTTATTATGGAATGAAGGGACTAAAAAATAGATAATTGAAACCACAAGTTTTATATCAATCTCTTAAAATCTTATCAAAGTACAGTTCACTTATAATTGATACCTAAATCTATTTTTTGATAATAGACTTAATTCGAAAATTTATTATTTTAAGAGTCTCCCTTTTTATATTAACTATTATGGTCAATAGGCAAATAACTCTTTTTATTCTTAGAAAAATTTTGAATATGTGTTTATTAGATTATTTTCTCAAACATTTATTTTAAATGTATCTAAATAAAAACAGATAAATCTTTATCACCATAACTTAACTTGTCTGAATTATTAGAATAAAAAACCATATATTTTTTTTGGAAGTTAAAATCTTTAAATATATTGGTAAAGTAATCAAATATATTTTTGAAAATATAATATTAATTTATAAACAAATTTTTAAAAAATATATTAAAAAATATCATTAATTATTTTAGGAATTTTGTTTTTGTTATTATCTAATAAACTCCTTTATAATCTTAATGTCATTAGGATTTTGCTAAATAGTTCTTCGAATTGATAAAGGAGCTGAATGAATAAGCCAAGCTAACTAATTAAGATAAAGTTCATCAACCATTTTTTTATCATTCTCCATAATTTTAATTACGCTCTTGTAAGGGATAAAAACATTGCATTTGCAATAAAATTTGCATGATTACTGACTCAAATATATATTAATAAGCTCTCTGAAGCATAACTTATGATATTCATGATAACAAGGCAACATAATGTTATCAGAAGAACTTTGAGTTCCACAATAAAAACAATTAAAATTTTTTGTCAATGTTACAGTTTGATCTATATCATCAGCATAATTTTATGTAGAAAATAATGTATTTTGTTCTTTATTGTCTAGATTTAATGTGTTGATAAGAATTCTTTATTCTAGAATACCTTCCTCTGAAGATTCTTATACTTAAGCCTTATTCTCTTAAATATTTTAATGTTGTTATCTGTTTTAATTACTTTAAAATTATTTATTACAATTGAATGTTTATTATTCAACTATTTTGATCCTTGAACTCATTTGAGGTTAAGTTTATTGATTTTACCTGAAGCCCTATTAGACATATCTTTCTTATTCATATCCATTTTATTAATTATACATAGTGATAGAAAATAATTATTTATTATAATATATATTAAAAATATATTTTATTCTTAAAGAATTTTTATAATAAGAACCCTCTATTTTGGTATGGACACCTAATAATATTAATTATAACCTTGATTCTTGCTAATTGTCTTTGAGTTTAAGTTCTTTTCGATAAGTTTACATATTAATTTTTTATTAAATTAATGTTAAAGCTTTTTCACATTTCAATGCGCTTTTTTTATTTAGAATTTAATTTAATGATGAATTTTTAAAGTTTTCCAGATTTTCCTAAAGAAATGAACTTTACAGAGATATTGATGCATATGTCTCTCTGTTATCAGTTCAAAAACTTGAAACTATTTAACAAAAATTAATATTGATTTTAAATTTATTTAATATAATGCTTTCTTGTCATATATTATTTAATATTTGACATTTTTTCGGTGATTTAAAAATCCCACGCTGATTCAAATTCAAGTGCAAGACACTTTTAAAGATAAGCAATTTTCATTTTGTAGTTAGAGAAAAAACCTATAGCTCAACTATATAATTAAATATCAAAATGATGAAATTATAATAGATAGGAATTAAAAGACTTGATTAAGACGAGCATAGTTAACTTAAATTGTCACTCTCAAATTTTCTGAGTTAAATAGTCATAAGGTTTCGTCAAATAACATAATCAAATTTGAGTTTAAAGAAATTTATAAACAAATGAAGATGAATTGGATCTATAATAATAATTAAAAGCTAAACTCTTTAATTTTTAATAGATACTTGCTTTAATTAAATATATGATGAAAACCTGAAAATTAAAGATAATTAGATAGATTAAATTGGAAATCTAAGTAACACACACTTATATTAAAGATTTATAATTTAATAATTCTTTATCTACATTAAGTATTAGAGATCAGTTTAATAGATTTATGAAAATATAAAATTAAATTATCTGCCTTCAAAGTAATATACAGATAAGAAAATCAAAATGAATTCATATTCAATTTAAAGATGAATAATTTCATCATTAATGATGGAAATATTAAATTTAAAATAGACATATAAGATATATTTGCTTCTTCATCTTTAAAATCCTCTCATCAATATGATAAAAGTTGATTTAGAAATTTTACTTGATTTCTTAACTCTTTAAAAATAATTTTTTTAAAGATCTGAAATTTAATCTATTTATTTAAAAAGAGGTAGGAATAATTCTCATTAAGCTAAAATGTTTCATGAGATAAAATAATTGCCTCTATATGGATTATTTTAATAAATTATGATCATTCTCTTTGAATTAGATGAGTTTGATAATGAGATTTTACAATACAATAAATTTTATTTTTCTCAATAGCCTAATACTTATAATTTAATTTATTTAATAAAATAATGATAATTAATATAATACTTATAAATGCCATATTATATTAGACAAGATCTATTATTCTTTAAGGAGATGAGTGTACTTGTGAGGATTATACAATTTAATAATGTAACGATTATGCAAACTGTTAAGTCAATGGATTTAATTGTGGAGAATTAATTTGTTAAAATAGAAATTATGAATAATGTTAAGGTAATATAACTGACTATAAATGTGTATGGGATGAATTAATCTAAGCTTGTATTGATTATAATCATAAGTGCGAAGAAATTCCTGAAACAGATTGCACATATAATTAATAAAAATAATAGAATTGTCTTTATGATTTAGATAATTAGTTATGTAAAGATCTTTCTTGTAAATTGATTTCACATTCAAGTTGTCCTCCTAATTTATGTTTTAAAGATGCATCATCATGCTCGGATCCAATTAAAAATTTTGATTGCTCTACTTTATCAACGAGTAAATGTGATTTTGTTTATACTGGAACTGGTTAAGTGTGTCATTTAAATAATTCAGGAATATGCAAATCATATAATCTATATAAATTATAGTTTAGTTGTAGAGACTGGAGTGATTCTAAAAATGGATGCAAAAAAATTAGCAATTGTAAATTCGATTAAACTCAAAAAGTGTGTCGAGATCCAAAATGTTTTGAGATAATATAATTTTATTAACTGAAACTTTTTATACATTTAAATTAAACCTCTCTAAAAGATAAAGATACATGCAATTCACCAATTAAGAGAAATGATTAATCTAAAAGTGTTGAATTATGCAAATGGAATGTAGATTATTGTTAAGAGCTTGGATCAAGTGATCTATCAAAATTATCAGAGAGTCAGTGTACAGAAAAATCTGCAAATAAATATATCTGGAATCAAATGCATGTTAAAGATGCAAAAATGTAATAATTATTGAAAATCCTTGTGATAATTGTTGTGGTTAGGGAATAACCAAATGAGATGAACTTAAATTTGCTTATCCTTCTTTAACAAATTCATTCCAATTATTAAACTCTAGTTAATAACTTAGCAATATTTATTCTAATTTAACAAAAATATGTTGTAAATGTCCTGAGATAAAAAATTTTAATGATATTTAATCAGCGTATCCTAAGTTAAAATGTTAATTGATAAATACTTGTGAATAATTTAACAATTATGTTAATTTAAAAAAATAATGCTGTCCTATTTGCCCTGAATACAAAAAATGCCTTGAAGTTCAAACTGCCTATCCTTTATTACCAATATCGTGCGATAATATATGTAGTTAAATAGAGGATTATGCCTAAATTGATAATTTTTATCTG